GTGAGGTGTAGGGGTGTAAGACTTTAAGACAATCCTGAAGCCATTTTTGACAATTCTGAATCCTCTCAGCCTCTGTGCCATAGTGCTTCCCCTCCTCCCCTGGGAACCAAGGACCTAACAGCTACACTCGCACGTACTCAGTTCCTGAACAATTACCCATATACGTATGCTTTGGTTCGGTCCCCTGGGAAATGGGGTCAAAATGACCTCTTACCTCATCTGATCTGGCAACAGCTCTCCAGTCAATTATTGGTAATAGCCCTTTCAAATAAGCCAATCAGAATAGTCAAAGAACAACCCCTCTTGCTTCTGTGGCCCCTTTAAAAGTAGACTGTACCCGCTATTCGAGGTCCCTCGGCTTCCCGAATGCTGGGGGACCCTGTCATGACAGAATTAATAAAATCCTCATACTTTTGCATCGGCTGTGGTGTATGAGATGGTCTCTGGGGGCGACTCCTTCTCGGTGTTTGGACGCTAGAGTCCAACAGGGGCAGTTCTTCAGAGTGTTGTAGCTGCTGAGAGACAGGGCCAACTCTCTTACTCTTGTGACTTCAGGGACAGCTCTCTCACCTACCACAGGCTGCAAGGGAGTGCAGGGGACCTTCTCTCCTCTGCCCACACCACCACATATGGTAGATGGCAGGGGCAGGGCCAGATCTCTCATGCTGATACTTGTTCTCTGGGATGGCACACCTACACCCCATCAGCAGGGTCAGCTCTACCATGTTGCCTAGGTGAGGTGCAGGGCCTGCTCTCTTCCAAGCTGGGTCTCACTATGTAGTCTGGAACTCCATTTGTAAACCATGCTGGCCTCAAACTTCACAGATATCTGCTTGCATTTGCCTCCAAGTGCTGGGATTAAAGACATGTGTCACATGAGCTGCCTCTACTTTTTAATAAGTTTTATCACATTTATTGTGTATATGTACATGTACTTACTACAGAGCACATGTAGCAGTCAGACGGCAACTTGTGTGAGCCACTTCTCTCCTTTCCCAACGTGAGAGGATCCCGAGGATCGAACTCAAGTCACCAGGCTTAGTGGCAAGCACCCTTACCTCCCGAGTCATCTGCCAGCTCTTGTTTGATTTTGAGACAGCCTCTCTCTCTCTCTCTCTCTCTCTCTCTCTCTCTCTCTCTCTTCTCTCGTTAGACTGACATGGCGCTCACTATGTAGCCCAGGTCAGATTGAAATTTACCCACCCAAATATTGAGATTATAGTGTGTGCACTGTGCATGGCTTTTTGTAAATTTAATATGCTGAAGATGTAGTAGTAAAAGCCAAACACAAATACCACTTCCATGCTCAGAAACTTCCCTCAAGTTTTCTCTAGACATCATTTGACAATGAACTTGCTCCCTCACAAACAGTGTCTCCTTCGGGCTTTAAACATCAGCTTGGAGAGAAAAGCTGGCATATCAGGCTCCAATAGGTCCACACATGGGAACCAGCTGCAGAGGGACTTATCTGCCTTGCCCTGTTAAGAAGAGTCTTCTGTATGCAGGCAGGTCATCTCCAGAAGAGTTGTAATCAAGAAAGCTCCAGAAAGAGCATTCATGGCACCTCGTGGGCCTCAGGTAGATCTCTGGCTGACCAGCTACCTTTGTTAAAGGGTCCATATAGGGAATGGAAAGCAGGGGTCTCCAATATGAAGGCTCTGGATGGAAGGGCATCATTTAGGTTTTTACTTTTGAACGAATCATCCCAAATATCTCAAATCTCCATATCTTAAACAAGATATGTTTATTATTACTCAAGAATCTGTAAGAAGAGGAAGGTTCTGGCTCTGGCTGTCCCTACTGCTGCAAACTATTGGTTGCAGGATGGTCTAGGGTCGCCTGTTGGGACAGCTGGCACACCTCTACATGGAACCATCTCCGGGCCATCATGTTCGCATGAGGCCAGGCAGGCTTCCAAGAGAGCAAGCATGATGTCCAGGTCACTTGGTGACTGACTCTAAATGGCACACTGCCACTTCTGTATGGTATTATACACAGAAAGTTAGGCGGCCAGGCATGGTTCAGATGCTGAGGAGATAAACTGAAGGGAACTCTGGCCAGCTTGAGTGTGGTGAGCATTGCTCTGGTGTGTCTTGTCCCCCTACCCCATTCCCTCTGCCTTGCTAAAAAACACCACATTTCATTCTTAAAGCTAGCCACCAAGGTCTATTCCTTTATTTGGCCACTTCCTCCTCCTGAGGCTGACTACCAAGGTTCAGCTCTCAAAGCATTGAAGTTCAGCAATCAAAGGCCCCTTTGGCTCACCAAGTTAACATGCCCAATTAAGATTACACACCTCAACCTACCATGGGGCTTCCCCTTGTACCTTTATAAACTGTCATCTTACTATGTGCCACATCTGTCTCCCTTCTATCCAGAGGCAGTCCTTTGTCCTCCCTGTAAGGGTAAAAGGGCCACCCAAAAAAACCCACCCTGGTTCTGAAATCAGAGCCAGTAAAAGAAACCCACCCAGAAGCTGAAAACAGAGCCAGTGACAGCAATGCTTTAGCCTCAAACCAAGACCCAAAGAAATGAATGCACCTTGACTCTGAAACCAGTGCCAAAGAAACATACTTTGTCCCTAGAATCAGAGTCAGTGAAACAAGTATCCTGTGGCCCCAAAACTAGAGCCAAAAAGCTTAAAACAGCCAGTGAAAGAAACACAGTTCGGTTCTGAGATCAGCCATCTCTGCCCCTGACAAACTAAACTGATCAATCCCTAAGCAGGGAAACAACAACAACAAAATAAAAAAAAACGAACCAAACCCTCTTCTCCCTAGGAAAACTCCCCCTCTAAGAAGCCCTAGATAAGCCCTTCGGTTGTTCAGGTTCTGGCTGCTCTTCTTCCACCCTGGCAGAGGCAGCCACTCTCCCGGATTCTTCCCTCCCAATAAATCTCTTGAACAAGGTTTGAGTGAAGATCTTCTTTCGCTGGAGCAGAGAGCAATAAGAGCAGGACGGTAACACTTTTGCTGGGAGAAGCCTTCCCCTAGCGGAGCAGAGTTGCTATGCTCAGGAGCATCAGAGCTGTAAGGACTTCACTGGGAAGCCCTCTCCTGCTGGAGCAGAGCTGTCACATTGGGGAAACCTCTAGAGCAGAGCTACAGGCTGCTACGCTTACTGTGGCCTATGATATTCCCTGGCTCCTGACTGCCAGGACCCCTTTCCTTCTGAGCTGTGACACCTCCACTCCCCTAGGACAAATGCCTCTCTGATCCCTCCCCCTTGTTCCCTTCTATTTAGTTGGGGGCTTCATCCCAGCCCCTGGCATCCATTTTGGAAACGCTGGGCAGAAAACTCCATTCCAAGCTCCCTCCCCTGGGAGTTGCCTCAGTCCAAACTCCACCTCCAAGAAAGCCTGTCAAATGGTGACCCCTTCCCAGGGAAGGTCAAGACCATTCCCACAGGCTATTTAAACTGCCCCCCAGAGAATAAACAGGTTGTCTCCCCTTTTTCCTGTCAGGTGGTGCTTTCCTCCCCCCCTCCCCGTTTTCCCGGGACCACCTGAGAGCACAGGCACCCAATTAAACCTGGGTATCTTTTAATTTGGTTTGATTTGGTCTGATTGGGATTATTTGCATTGGCAGAGAGGTTTGTTGGCAAGAAAATACGAATACCTTCCCCTTCTCCGTTGTCCTCTATCTCCTGTCTTTGTTTCTTATCTCCTTCCCTCTGTTCCTCTGAGGCAGATAAATAAATCTCCTTTCTGATGAGAACCTGGTCTTGGGGATCCCGGGTATATACTTTCCCTTTCATAAACTACCTGTTTTATCTTAATGGGGGTATGTTTGTCAGGAAAGGTCACATGTGCCACAGAGCATGTGTAGACAAGGGTGTGTGTGTGTGTGTGTGTGAGGAGAGGTCACATGTGCCACGGAGCATGTGTAGACAAGGGTGTGTGTGTGTGTGTGTGTGTGTGTGGAGAGGTCACATGTGCCCTGGAGCATGTGTAGACAGGAGGGTGTGTGTGTGTGTGTGTGTGTGTGTGAGTGTGTGTGTGTGTCAGGAGAGGTCACATGTGCCCTGGAGCATGTGTAGACAGGAGGGTGTGTGTGTGTGTATGTGTGTGTGTGTCAGGAGAGGTCACATGTGCCCTGGAGCATGTGTAGACAGGAGGGTGTGTGTGTGTCAGGAGAGGTCACATGTGCCCTGGAGCATGTGTAGACAAGGGTGTGTGTGTGTCAGGAGAGGTCACGTACGCTATGGAGCATGTGTAGACAACCATAGGATAACTTTGTGGAGTTCTTTCTTTCCTGCCATCTTCACATGGGTTCCAGAGATTGATCTCAGGTTGCCAGATTTGCACAGCAAGTAGCTTAACCCACTGAGCCACCCTGTTTGCTCTCTACTTCTTTTAATGCAGGTATTGCTGTGTAGCCAGACTGGCCTGCTATCTACTACATTGCTCATGCATTGAGTAATTACATGAGTAAATGACCAGACCCAGCAGGACCAGAGCTATAAAGCTGCGAGAAAATGGATAATGATACAGGCTAGCATTTGGCCTTAGTTTTACCACACAAGTACTCGTTTGCCACAACATTAAGAGATACTCTCAAGCCTGCTCTCTGGCTCAGGCTTATGGAGCAAACACCCAGGTACTCCTGAGCTATCTACCCTGAAAGACAAGGCAAGGAAGAGGGACCTTGTTCGCTTCCAAGCAGCACTATCTCCAGTAGCACCCAGTCTGTTGGGCTATCCAGAAGCTGTCCTAAAGGGAAAGGTGATGCCCCATTGCCTTGCCACAGTGTTTCCTTCAGGCCACCATGCACATTTCCCCCTCTTTGGATTTTTGAGACAGGGTTTCTCTGGCTGTCCTTGCTCTGCAGACCCAGGCTGGCCCTGAACTCACAGAGACCTGCCTTTGCCTCCCCAGTACTGGGATTAAAGGCGTGCACCACCACCGCTCTGCTAGTCCCTCCATTTTAAATGAGTTTGAATCACATGAAACCTGTAAGAAATGTGATTTTTATTTAAGTAAAATTGAATCTGCCCCCAATTCTAATTCAATAGAAAGATGGGGCTTCCTTTCTCCCCACAGCCCTCACCCAGGATTGTAAAGATCTTTGGAATTCTTTTTGTTCTCAATACTGAGGTAGGACTCCTGTCAGTGCTAAAAGACTTTCTTGGTCTGAAAGCACCCTGGAGTATGGCCTCACCGTAACCTGAGGGGCCATCTTCTCTGCAGGCCTAAGGAGGACGTCCAGGGGGTGGTGTCTCTTTTGAACATCTACCCATCAAGCAGTTTCTCCTTGCCTATTCCCTCTCAATGACTTGCCATCATCTTCCTATGAACCAAACATCACAATATAGCTTTATTTTCAGGCTAAGATTCACCAGCAGGCATTCATTCCATGCACCTATTATTAAAGTCTGGGTTTTCCAGTACAGAGAAACTCGGAGGCCAGGAATTTAGAACACAGCTGATCTGCATGCTACTTGCCCTGTTGAACGGTGTCCCCAAGGGCTCTAGTTTTGTTGGACTTGGGCTCTTGATGATGCTGGAGCGAGGACCCTGAAAGGCACCTGCAGTTGGCTCTGAGCCCTGGCTTTCAGGCCAGGGTCCTCTTTGAGCACAGGTGGCCTTATTAGCTGAATAGGACTGGGTGATAGTTGCTGTATGCAGCGATCCATCGCTCAGATGATCTGCATGAGGTACGAGAAGGGCCAGTCCATAGTAGGTGTTCAAGAACCGGACCTCACTGGCAATCCCACGCTGCTGTGGGGTTCTCAGGGATATCTACTGGCTCCAAGTGGAGAGTGGAGCTCCCAGCCCCACGAAGAGCCTTGCTGGGCATAAGGAAGGACTAGCTTAGCTTATAAAAACGTGGGTAGCCAGCTGCAGTCCAGAGCAAGAGTAGTTGTTTAGCGTTTCTGGTTCACCACTGCACCTTGTCTTTTCTGGGGCAACTGCCCAGGAACAGGCTGGAGTTCGGGAGAGGCTGGGCATTGTGGCTGGGGTTCAGGAAAAGGGCCGGGGTGGGGACGCAGGTCAACGGCCATGCGCGGTGTTTGCGCAGGGCCGCCCGCGGAGCTGCTCAGGCAGCCTCCAGGTGGTGGGTAGGCTGGCAGGTGCGGTCTGCCTCCTGCATGGCCTGCAGCCTGCGTTCGCGACTCTGGTACAGCTCCAGCCAGTGTTGCGCCTCCGTCTGAGCCTGCAAGCGGGCGATTGAGGAGGCACTGGGTCCCACACCCTAGCGCACAGATATCAGCTTCCTCATGCCCTAATAGCCCCCTACCTCTCAGGCCCAAAAGGTTGCCCTCGCTTCCCTCCCAACTCACCGGCAACTGGGGGCGCCCGACCCTGGGCGGTGGCACATGCAGCTGCGCTGTCTGCCTACGACGCTCAGCTGCTCTCTCCTCCATTCTGCGCTGCAGCTCCAACACGCGCTCATCCTGAGAGGGTGTCCCCAGGCTTGCCGCCCGGGCCTTCTTTTCCTCCCACCTGGACCACGACAGTACTAGCTTAGAAACTGGCTGGGTGACACCCAGGAGGTTTTTCGTGGGATCCTGCCAGCATCCCTACACTTTTAATCTTTTAATTTTTTTTTTTTTTACATTCTAATATAGAATTGGTGTAAAATGCAAAAACTCCCTTTGCCTCACAGTGCCTTTGGCACTCTCATGGTCCCCAGGTGACAGCATTTCTGCACATCTCTTTTTTGTTTTTGTTTTTGTTTTTTGAGACAGGGTTTCTCTGTAGCTTTGGAGCCTGTCCTGGAACTCGCTCTGTAGACCAGGCTGGCCTCGAACTCACAGAGATCTTCCTGTCTCTGTCTCCTGAGTGCTGGGATTAAAGACATGAGCCACCACCCCGGGGCTATATCCCCCCCTTTTAAAAATATTTATTTATTTATTTAATTTATTATGTATACAATAGTCTGTCTGTGTGTATGCCTGCAGGCCAGAAGAGGGCACCAGACCCCATTATAGATGGTTGTGAGCCACCACGTGGTTGCTGGGAATTGAACTCAGGACCTTTGGAAGAGCAGGCAATGCTCTTAACCTCTTAGCCATCTCTCCAGCCCCTATATCCCCTTCTTAATACGGTCCACCTCTCCTGTCCAATTGCAGGTCTTGCAGCCTGCAGCTTTGATTAAAGTATGCATCACAGCATGGGGCATGAGCACATACTCTCCTTGCTTTAGGGCTTTTGCCCAACTGTCCTGGCCCTGTTCCCCTACAAAACTTCTTTCATTAAATTCCTTCAAGAGAGGTTGGCTGCAGGAATAGGAATGGGGTCCAAGAACATTGTTACCAGAGTTGAATTTTGAGAGGTACTCCGACCTTAAGTAGTACATTTGGGGTCTGTGAGGATGAGGCCAGCAGTTGGGAAGTGGGGTTTCCTGAGATGTGTGTCACTCTGTAATTGTGGCCAGTCAGTCCTTTCTAAGCAGGCGGTGGCATGGCTTCCTCTGCATTGCAGCCACAGCAGCAGCTGCTCAGAGGACTAATAATGATGTATTCTCTTCCACTGGCAATGAATTAGGGTCCTTCCTCTGTCCACCCCTTCCCAGTCCCATGAAGGTATTTTCTCTAGAGACCAGTGTGTTCTGTTGTAGTAGGCCACCACCTCCCCTGGAGCAGTTGTGACCATGTGACCAACCTGGCTGCCATTGGACACTGGCCTGAATAAAGATATTCTCAAACAAATAAAAGGTGTGTGCATATATGCACATACAACTATGTGTGACACACACAACTATGTGTGACCTAGATACTGGCTTACAAAGGAAAACAGCAAATGGTATTTTAAAAGTCTTAGCTGTCTTGGGACACTTGGAGAAGTGAATGCAGATAGGATATTTAAATGATGTTGAGAATTCTGATTAGCTTTGCTAGTTGTGTCATGGTGTTGTGGTTTTTTAAAGAAAATACACACTACAGTGCTCGGGAGTGAAATATATGGTGTCTGCAGCTATTTTGGAGTGGCATTGACAACTGACAAATGGCTAGCTAGCGAGGTAAGAACAAATGGCTCAAAGGCCCTTGTGACATGGACGCATTGCATGTTGAGTGTCATGGGCATCAGAGCCATCGCCACAGAACTGATGATTCTCCCATAAAATAAAAATGGTCAGAATTACTGGAAAGAATTGTCTGGCAGGGGCTGCTGGTGTGGCAAGGGTACCCACCGAGGAAGGTGCGTAGCAACCTTGCCACGCTCCATTGCTCCTTCTAACACATGGAGATGACCTTTTAGGAGCCATGATACTCACCTCAAGGCTGCAGTTCTGCCCATGGCTGCGCGGCACAATGAGATTTGTTCCACTGTGTTCTGTAGCTTTTGGCTTTTGGCTCTCTTGTCCTGAATGATTTGATCCCGCTTTTCCTCCTGCTCTCGTTTCTGGGTTTCTTTAAGCAGGGCCAGCCTTTCTCGAAGTTCCACAACAGACATCTCTCCTTCCAGACCATATCCTGGGATCTTCCAAATAACAGGGGAAGAACTTAAGCTAGCAACTGTAAAGCCAGTCATCCCTCAACTAAGAAGACCTTTCCTCTGCTTCAGTCTGCCTGTGTACCACCCAATCAGCAGCTCCAGCCTGGAGCCTGCAGGGGAGCCAGGCTAGGTGAGACCTAGCTGTCAACTGCAAAAGCCTCCCAGTCCTGCCCCTTGCTCTTGTGAACCTGGTTCTCCTCTGCTTTCTCATACAGGCTGCTGCCCCCATTTCCCCTTAACCCTTGACTTTCTCTGGCTCTGGACTTTTAAACACTTGGATGCTCCTTGTTCTGTTTTTCATCTTGGGTCTGGAGAGTCCAGGGACCTCACCCTTGAACATGTAGCTCCTCAATGTACCTCCATGTACTTTAGCTCTCTTCCCTTCAGAGCTCCAGCTCTGATGGGTAGTTCTTTCCTCTAAATAAAAACATGCCAGCCGGGCGGTGGTGGCGCACGCCTTTAATCCCAGCACTCGGGAGGCAGAGGCAGGCGGATCTTTGTGAGTTCGAGGCCAGCCTGGTCTCCAAGAGCTAGTGCCAGGACAGGCTCCATAGCTACAGAGAAACCCTGTCTCGAAAAACTAAAAAAAAAACAAAACAAAAAAAAATATGCCATCCTGCAGAGGGAGGCTCCTAGGACTCAGGAAGCAAAGGAAACTTACAAGGCTCAGAAAGCTCAGAAAGTTACAGGATTTACAAGGAGTTGATGGCCATGACTGTATAACATTAATAGTTGCTGGAAAAGAGAAAACTCGTGGGCAAGTGCTGAACAGCAATTTCCTCCAAAGGGAACCATCCAGTCCCAGGGGCAGGGAGGTTAAGGCTCAAGATACTCAAGGTCCTCTCTCCAGCTTGATTGATTGATTGATTGATTGATTGCAGAGAAAGTGGATATTTATTTAGTGGGTTATGGAGGGGAAAGGGAAAGGGGGAAAGGGTATAAGGGGGAAGAGCAGAGAGAGGCAGAGAGAGAGAAATGGAGCGGGGAGGAGGGGAGAGGAGAAAGCTACCTCTTCAAGAGAAAAAGGAGGAGCTCAGGCCCTTTCTCCAGCTTTATAAAATGAGTAAGCAACCACTGGGGAGGAGACTCTGACCAGGAGAGCTATCAGAAGAGATTCTCAGGTCTGTCAAATTGCCTGCAAACTATGCAGAGAGCTCTTGGGATGCAGCTTTCATGAGCTGTCATCTGTACTGGGGTAGGCTTTTCAATGACACGACCGCTTCTGAGCCATCCCGGTGCCTGTAACTGTTAGGAGCCCCAATAATCCATTGGTTCACCAGGTCGGACTTTGGTGCCTACTGTTACTTTGGTCTGTCCTGGGTTCCCTTCCTGGGGTAAGTAGATGTGTGTTGCATTTACTCAGGAAAGGCTCTCACACAACAGCAGCCTGAGCTGCCTGCAAACATTACAGGGAACTACTGCGGTACAGTTTTCTGAGTTGTCCCTTGCATTGCGGTGAACTTTTTCGTAAGCTCACCTTTGAGTCATCTATGCCTCCATAATTAGCCTTCCCCCATGATATATTGCCTCAATAAACTCACTGGTTCACTAGTTTAGATTAGGGTGGATTGTTTTTTTGGTCTGTGGTTGGCACCGTATCTAGGATAGTGGAAAGGTCACAGAAGAAACTGTCTTGATGTAGCACATACCTTAAGCTGAATCTATCCACAGCTGGTGGTAACCAAGAAACTAGAGGATTATGGGTAGGACAAGACCCACCTCTGGCCCTGATGGGAATTCTGTGTACCACACAAGGAGGTACCCTTAAGCTGAAGCATCTACAGGCCACAGTCTCACCTGGGTCAGGTCTACCAGCTTGCCCTTGCGTGTGGGCTGTGTCTCCAGCGCACGCAGCTGGGCGATGAGCTCACAGCGCTGCCTCTGCTCCTCTTTGGCTGCCTTTGAGCTACGCTGCAGCAGCTCCCGGATCTCTTCCATCACCTCCTGAACTTGGAAACCAAGTGGGGTCCTGATGAGGACGGTGAATGGTCTGGCGGACAATGGACAGGGGCCATGTTCCCCAGAGGTGTCTTCGTCAGACCGTGGCACCTGCTCAGTCCTGCCCACCCTCCAGGGGCACCACCCCTCACTGACGAGCTTGTTTAGTCATTGAGAAGGATGTAAGGGAACGGGACAGCCTTGTGGCACCTGATTCCCTCTGGTACCTATCTGCTGCCGGCCCTTCACAAGCTTCATTTGGGCCACCTTGACATTCTTCTGGGCTTCATTGACCTGCTCCACCAGTTCTTTCATGGACTTCTCCTCTTGGAGGCGCCGCTCAGCACACTGCAGCATTAGCTCAGCTGTCTGCTCAGACAGAGGACCCGAAACACTGAGAACTGGACTGGACAGGGTCCTCCCTTTAATCCTATCCCAGCCTACATCAGAAGTGTGGGGGGCACCCAGCCAGCTCTGCCCTGAGTTCACCCCAGAGCCTTAGCCCTTTGAAGCTGGGACTACTGGAAAAGTTCTACCCCTTGTCCTCCCTTCTTCCCAGGCTCGTCCTGGGGTTGCTTTTCAGTATTTTGTTGTGGCAGCTCTAGATCCTCATGAAATAAGATGCTCACAACGGAGGGAACCTGGTGGGGAGGGTCCAGTAAGGAGGCATATGTGATTAAGGTACTTGTGGTGGTGCATACCTTTAATCTCAGCACGGAGGAGGCAGAGGCAAAAAAGAAAAAAAGTGCAAGTGCCTGGGTTTGATCTCCAAAACCAAAAGAAGTGTCGGGGGGAGTGTTTTGTTTTTAGACAGAGACTTATGTAACCTAGGCTGGCCTGGAATTTGCTTTGTAACATGGGATGACTTTGAACTCCTCCTGATCTTCCTAGTTCTGCATAGGAGCGCTAAAATTACAGGCATGTCCCACCACACTCCTTTTGTTTTTTCTTTTGGTAGCCCAAGCTTGCCTCAAACTCACTGTGTAGCCTTCACTGACATCAAACTCATAATCTTCCTGCCCTCTCCTCTTAAGTGCTGGGATTATGGGCATTTGCCCATGTGCCAGGCTTCCAAAATAAATGACAGGGGTGTACAAGCTACTATGCCTGTATCAAGTAAGCAAACAAGAAAAAACAAAGAAAGATGCTGTTCTTGCACTGTGGGCCTCTTCCTAAGCAGAGTTACAGGGATCCCAGGCTCATCTTACATCATCTGGAACCAAGAGATAGAGGACCAGGCCTATGGTAAGTAGATAGATGAGAGCTTCTTGCTGGAAGCAAGGAAAAGTCAACTCTTAGCACCTAGAATCTGAAAGATGACACAGCTCTGCAGAAAAGCTACCAGCTGGGGAGAAAGCCGTGCATATAGGAACTTATAAGATGCTTTTCCTCAGTGCACTGACTTCACATGGGCTGCAGACACCCGACGAATAGCTAAAAGCAGGGGAACAAACGTGGCAGCTGTGCCTTCATTTTGTGTCTGTCTTCTTTACCCTCAAATTCTGGGTCTCATTTTTGCTCTATTTGGCACCTAGACGTATTAGTTTTGTAGAGCAGTTAATTGTCCCATGCCCCCCAATAGTGAAAACATGAAGACGACAATAATGGCTTCTAGGTTTGCAGGGACAGCATAATCAACAACCTGTCAATCACCAATTTGTTTTTTCAGTTTACTTCTTATGTGCATGGGTGTTTTGCCAGCATGTATACTGCATGCATGCAATACCCAAGGAGGCCAGAAAAGGTTGTCAAGAGCCCCTGGGACTGGAGTTTCAGGTGGTTATAAGCCACCATCAAACATAGGAATCAGACATAGCTCCTCTGGAAGAGCAGCCCTTGTTCTTATCCACTGAGTCATCTCTCCAGGAGCAACCACCAGCTTATACAACATGTAGACCATGGGCACAGCAATTGAGAAAGAGGCCTCTAATCATTGTTCTAAACCTGAGCAGATCTGCTCCATCCTATATTCACCTTGGCTTCCAAAACAATAGATCTAATGTTTAAATAGTCTGTTGCAACTCTGTGGGTCAGGCCTGCCTAGTCTGGGACTCTAATAACAGATACATAGATTTGCCATGTTGTAGGTCAACAGCTGGTCCTCCCTAAGCTTCAGTTTCACTTAACTTTTTTGGTCTCGAACTCACAGAGATCCGCCTGCCTCTGCCTCCCGAGTGCTGGGATTAAAGGCGTGCGCCACCATCGCCCGGCTTAAAGTTTTTTTTTATTACTGTTTGTTTTTGTTTCATTTTCCTAGCTATGCCACTTCTTCAGTTGCATTGGGCACAATAGCATGGCAAGGGCTCAAGAAAGTGGGTCACTATCAGTGACAGTATAGGCTTCAGCACAGTATTGGGGTCAGCAGAGAGGGGAATGAGTGAGCTGGGTGGTGATGGTGCACGCCTTTAATTCCAGCACTTAGGAGGTAGAGGCAGGCAGATCTCTGTGAGTTTGAGGTCAGCCTGAGTTACAGAGTGAGTTTAAGGACAGCTAGAACTGTTACACAGAGAAACCTTGTCTGAAAAAGCCAAAAAAAAAAAAAAAAAGAAAGAAAGAAAGAAACCCTAACAAAACAAAAAACTCACAACTAGAGTCTCCCCCCTCCCCCGCCACACACAAAGAAAGAAACAAAGAAAGAAAGGAAAAGAAAAAGAAACAGAAAAAAAAAGAAAAGGGACTGAGTGGAAGAAGAGGCATTGAAATTGGGGGTTGCAGGTGGGCACGGGGCTTTGGTGAGACATATGTGCCAGATCCACAGAAAGACTGGCATCACTAGGAAGTGAGTGCCAGAGCAGACAGCTGGCTGAGTCTAGAGTCAGACACTTGACTGCTTCCTGTGTTCTGCCTGGTGTTGCTGAGGGACAAGAGGCAATGAACACATCCTTGGTCCAGCTCTTGAGTTCCAGTTCTTCTCCTTCCCACAAGACAGCACCCAAATAAGGGATGTTCTTCACTATGACAACAAGCAGGAGCTCTGAGTTACCTGCATGGGAGAACTTCAGAACTAACACAAAGCTGGGGGTGCAGCTCAGTGATAAGGTGCTTGTCCTGTGTGTGTTTGGCAGGGGGAGTTGGGTTTAATTCTGTACACTACAAGAAAAAAAAAGCCCACAAAACATGCTAGATGTCCTTTGTGACGGGAGCCAAGTGGAAAAGCACTGCAAGAGTTGCCAAGCTCCATCAGACTGAATGAAGATTTTGGGGAAAATGTACTCAAAGAACGGTTCCCATGGCAACCGGCATGTGAACTGTTTCTCACTAGTGGGTTCAGTGTTGAGACCAGAACAGCTACCCTGCATTGGTCCTGCTGTGATGGGGGAGGGGGGGCTGGTAAAAAGCGAGTTTTATTCAGTTCAGGTTATTATTTGTAAGGTTCGCCAATTTTAAAAAGGGCATAAATTTAGTTAAGAGAAGAAAATATAACCAGTAATCAAGTCAGTGTTAGAATGAAATTAAAAATACCACCATTGCTGGAGATATAGCTTAGAGCACTTGCCTATCCTGCAGAGGGTCCTAGATTCAAATACCAGTATGAACACATTCATCCATCTGTCCACCTGTACACACACACATGCAGACACACATACATGCACACATTAAAAAGATCATTGTTACATCCATTATTTTAAACACATCTTTTTCATACGTGTTGATAGAATTCCTAATATTGGTCACTGTGGAAAGCTAGAATTCAATATTGGCCTCCCTGGTCAGGGCTTGGTGGAGAATAGTCAGGTCACTTCTTTTAAGTTAGTGTCTCCCTGTGGAGCCCAGGCTGACCTCAAAATCCCAACCTTCCTGCCTAAGCCTCCTATGAGGTGAGGTTCTGGCTTCCTCACTGTGGGAGATTGTTACCTGAAGAGCCAAAATAATTCTTTCCTCCTTTACATTCCTTCTGTCAGATATTTGGTCACAGTAACAAAAAAAGTAATGAGCACAGGTGAATTCAACAGCAGACAGAGTAGAGGGTCCAAAGAAGACAGAACAACAGTGCTAGTCCAGCTAGAACCATGGAAGGAAAGTAGACGGAAAAACCTTCAGCGAGCATCAGGAACCTGGAGGTGCTATAACAAACAAAAGCCCTAATGTCTGTGTCATTGCTCCCAAGAGCAGAACAGAGCTAAAAGGAAAGTGGCTAAGATTGCTCAGACGTGCCAAGATAAGTCATAGTCAAACTTCTGAAAACCAAAGACAAGGAAACAACAGGAAAAGCCGGGCGGTGGTGGCGCGCGCCTTTAATCCCAGCACTGGGGAGGCAGAGGCAGGCAGATCTCTGTGAGTTTGAGACCAGCCTAGTCTACAGGAGCTAGTTCCAAGACAGGCTCCAAAACCACAGAGAAACCCTGTCTCGAAAATAAAAAAAAGAAAAGAAAATATCATGAAGCCTCCAAAGGGGGACTGATGCCTGGTTTGTGGCAGAAAAACTGAATGGCCCCCCAAATCAGAGGAAGTTGAACAATATTTTTCAGGTACTAAAAGAAAGTCAAAGGACTCAACCTAAAACAGTGATGCAATATTCTATTATTGTTATTGTTATTATTATTATTATTATTATTATTATTTGGTTTGTTGAGACAGGGTTTCTCTGTAGCTTTGGAGCCTATCCTGGAACTCACTCTGTAGACCAGGCTGGCCTTGAACTCACAGTGATCCGCCTGCCTTTTTCTCCCAAGTGCTAGGATTAAAGGCATGCACCACTACCACCTGGCTATATTCTATTAATTTATTATTATTATTATTTTTTAAATATTTATTTATTTATTATGTATACAATATTCTGTCTGTGTGTATGCCTGCAGGCCAGAAGAGGGAACTCAGGACCTTTGGAAGAGCAGGCAATGCTCTTAACCACTGAGCCATCTCGCCAGCCCAATTTTTTATTATTGTATGTGTTAATGATGCATGTGTCATAACGTGTGGAGGTCAGTGGAAAACTTTGGGAGTCAGTTTTTTCTGTCCCCCATGGGATCCAGGAATTGAACTCAGGTCAAGTTTTCTCTGCGTTTCCCACTGAGTCATCTTGCTGGCCCATCTTATTTTGAGACAAGGTCTTGTGGCCAAGGTGGTCTCATATTTACTCTATAGCTGAGGATGACCTTGAATTACTTTTCCTGTCACTCTTATGAGTACTGTAATTACAGTTGTGAACAACCTCAGCTACTGTGTTGTGTGTGTGTGTGTGTGTGTGTGTGTGTATGTGTGTGTGTAAGTTTCTCACAGCTCATTTGAGCTGGCAAAATGACATCATTAGTAGACTATGGTAAATTATGTACTGTTATAATTTGGATTTTAAATGTCCACTAACCAGTCCACAAATTAAGGCTTACTCCCTAACACATGACACTATTAGGAGCTGGTAGAACCAACGATAGTTAGGCTAGGGAGGACATGACCTTGAAAGGGGTATGGAACTGGCCTCCTTTTCTTTATCTTTGCTTCCTACAGTTTTCTTCCATTACAAGCTTCTACCCTGATGCACTGCCGCAGGCCTAAAAGAATGGGGTCAACAAACCTTGTATTACAAACTGCAAAAATTTATGTCCAACAAAATCTTTTTTCTTTTGAAGTTGATTTTTTAGGTATTTTGTTACAGTAATAAAAAACTGTCTAATACATAATTATATAATATTTTGAATAACAATTTAAAAGAGCTGCAGAGGGCCTAGGTGTGATAACACCAGCCTTCAATCTCAGCAACTGAGAGGTAGAGGCAAGTGACTTTCCGTGAGTTTGAGGCCAGCTTGGTCTACAGAGAAAGTTCCAGGCTAGTCAGGGCTACAGTGAGGAAGTAACTCATGGACACGAGTGGATAGCTGAAATTTTCTGACCAACCAGTCTAGCCAAATTGGTGAGTCTTGGGTTCATCTAGAGACCTTGTCTTAACAAATAAGGAGGAGGGTCCATAAAAAGGCATAGTGGGTAACAGCATTTGCCTCTCAAGCCTAGCTGCCTGGGTTTGATCCCTGGGACTTAGGTAAAGGCAAACAGAGAGAACTGGCTCTACAGACGTGTCTTCTACCATCCGCTTGCATGCTGGGACACATGCCCTCCCCAAAATAAATATAGAGAGTCGAAAACCTAAAAAAAAATAAAACTGAGGAAAGACACTCAACACTGACCTCTGATCTCCATAAATGTGTACACACCTGTACCTGCACATACATGTACTTAAACTCACACTAATAAGTATATACACCACACACACCAAACACATGTACAAATAAGCAATAATATAAAAAATGCTGGGTGGTGGTGGCACACACTTTTAATCCCAACCCTGTAAGATCAAGACAAGCCTGGTCTACATAGTGAATTCCAGGATAGCCAGGGTTGTACAGAGAAACTTTGTCTTGAAAAGCAAAAACAAAACAACAAAAACCCAAAGGATGGGGGGCTGGAGAGATGGCTCAGAGGTTAAGAGCACTGACTGCTCTTCCAAAGGTCCTGAGTTCAATTCCCAGCAACCACATGGTGGCTCACAACCATCCGTAAGGAGATCTGGTGCCCTCTTCTGGCCTGCAGGCACACATGCAAACAGAATACTGACAATACTGTATACATAATAAATAAATAAATATTTTTTAAAAAAGTAGAAAAAAAAACAGAAACCCAAAGGATGGAAATGCCTCATGCAAATATTAATAAAAGGAAAGATGGACTTAATATCATTTGAAGTAGATAGCAGAGCAAGGAAAATTACCAGTGACAAAGATACAACATAGCATAATACTAACAACCCAACTCCACAGAGACAATTAAGCTACATATTTGCATGTACTAAGCAACAGAGATGCAGAATATGGGAAGCAAAACCAAAATAGAAAAGGAGAATTTCACAGTTATATTTGTAGACTTCAACCTTTTCTCAACAACGCACAGATCAACTTGACAGAATTAGCAAATGAACGGAACCAATAGTACTGTTAATCAGCAAGAAGTGATGGACGTCAGAGAACCACCGAGACCAAAGAGCACACCTTCTTCTCAAGTGCCCTCCATGGATGGAAGACACAGCAAGAGCCCATCCTGGGCAAAACTCAACAACTCAACATAGGGCCTGGTGCCAAGAAGCCTGGTGGTCCCAGCACTCAGGAGACCAAGTGGGTCACAAGTTTGGGTCACAAATCTGAGGCCAGTTTGGCTTATTGACGAGATTCTGTTTCAAAACAAAAAGCAGCTGGGCAGTGATGGCACATGCCTTTAATTCCAGCACTTGGGAGGCAGAGGCAAGTGGATCTTTGTGAGTTCGAGGCCAGCCTGGTCTACAAGAGCTAGTTCCAGGACAGGAACCAAAAAAAGCTATGGAGAAACCCTGTCTCAAAAAAAAAAAAAAAAAAAAGTACATTCGCCAACCATAGCAGATTCCAATTAGAAAGTACTAACAAAGATAATGGAAAAAATTTACAAATGCCGGGAAACCAAACAACATTTTTTTTAGTTTTATTTGTTTTCACTTTTTATTTATTTATTTGTTTGTTTTGAGATAGGGTTTCTCTGTGTGGCAGCCCTAGCTGTCCTCGAACTAGCTCTTGTAGACCAGGTTAGCCTCAAACTTACAGAAATCCGCCTGCCTCTGCCTCCCAAGTGCTGGGATTAAAGCGTGAGCCACCACCACCCAGCTAAACAACACACTTTTAAATAATTCACAGGGCAAGAAGGAAATCTAGAGAAATGGGGAGAATACATCAACCTGCTATTTGAAACTGAGTACAACATGTCAGGATTGGAGGCACACAGATAAGGCCATGAACAAGAGAAACCATCAAACACTAAGTCCTCACAGTAGATAAGCAGGGTGTCTCATACCAGCAACCTATGTTCTCATCTCAAGACGCTGGAAAAAACAGTAAAAAGAAAGCAAGGAGGGAGGGAGACAGAAGTGGTGAAACAGAGAAAACCAGTGAAACAAAAAGTAAATTGTTCAAAATAAATAAATTGTTCATTTTTAACAATGTTATGGTTATTCTTGGTTGTCAAGCTGACTACATCTGGAATTAACTAAAATGCAAGCAGCTGGATACACCTGTGAGGAATTTTTCTGAGTTAAATCATCGAAATGGGAAGACCTACTTCTAATCTGGATCTCTTGAGGTGGAAGATCCACCTTTAGCCCGAGCCACACCTTCTGTTTGCAGATGTGGTGGAAGGAAATTCTCTCCCTTTGCCTGCCTTCACTCTTGCTAACAAGCCTACTCCTTCACTGGCGTTCATTAGAGCCAACTCTGGATTCCAGCATATACTAGAGACCAGCTGAGACATCCGCCTCGTGAACTGAATGACTATGAGTTCTTGGACTTTCTGTTGATAGACAGTCATTGTTGGACTAGTTGGACCACAGCCTGGAAGACACTGTAATATACATAATATACATATATTACATTATATATATATATCTATGTATATATATATCTGTGTGCATGCATGTGTGTATTTAGATACATATTAATTCTATCAGTTCTGTTCCTCTAGAGAGCCCTGACTAATACAGACAAGATCTCAATATGTAGACCTGGCTAGAATTTTTTTTAAAAAATATGTTAGAAGAATATTACAAGTTTGTAAACTTATAAATTTGACAATTTAGTGAAATGGACCAAGTCTTCAAAATATACAAACTAGCACAACAACTCAGCATGAAGAAATTGCTTCAAAAGTTCTATAACTGTTAAGCATGAAAACATGTTTTTTTCTTTTAGAGACAAAGTCTTACTCTCCAAATTGCCCTTGAACTCGTGTTAATCCTCCTGCCTCACCCTCATAAGTGCTGGCCTGACTGAGTATGAACCACCACATCCAGCTAAATGAAATGTCTCCCTTCTCTTGATTTATTTGTACTGGCTTTTCCTGTATAGCACTAGGGACCGAACCCAGGACTTGGCATACGGTAGCCATGCACTCTACTAGCTACAATTCTAGTGGAATGGAATTATGGAATTTGTAATTTAAAAACTCTCAAAAGAGAAACATTCTGCAGGGGATTTTTTTTTTTTTTTTGGTTTTTCGAGACAGGGTTTTTCTGTGGCTTTTGGAGCCTGTCCTGGAACTAGCTCTGTAGACCAGGCTGGTCTCGAACTCACAGAGATCCGCCTGCCTCTGCCTCCCGAGTGCTGGGATTAAAAGCGTGCGCCACCATCGCCCGGCTTCTGCAGGGGATTTAACTGGTAGCTGAGCATGCCCATCTCAGGCACAATCCTGGGTTCAGTTCCTAGCACCAAACAGAGCAGAGCAAAGTAAATGAAGAAAGGAAGAGCAAATCCTACAATTGAATACAACCTGGGTGGCAGTGGTGCATGCCTTTAATCCCAGCAGAGGTAGGTGGACCTTTTGAGTTTAAGGCCAGGGCTACACAGAGAAACCCTTCATCCAAAATAAATAAATAAATAAAAACACAAACATTCACAAGGGAATCTACTCAAAGAAGTAATGGGAATGCCCTCCAAGTGTGGCCTTTGAGCTTTGTTCTCGGTGGGACACATCCAAGGAGAGACAAAGCTGAAATCTAGACCTGGGCGGCCTCTGGGAAGCAGCAGGAATACCATCAGCACAGGTAACCTGAAACTCTCATGGACCCCTGGCTGTTAGGATGGGGATAAAGAAACCATGTCTCCATGTAGGTCACTGTGGCTGGCAGGCTGTAGCCAACCACAGCATAGGTACTTGATCTCTCTGCTCAAGTCCCACTGTGTCCTGGCCACTCCCACACAGTGTACATCACCTCCTCCTTCTTCTGGTCGGCCTTCTGCTTGTTTTCCTGTATGAGGTTCTGCCGGGCCAAGATGGCCTCCTCGTGGCTCAGTTTTCCTTGCAGCCGCCGGCACTCGCTTGCGGCTAACTGCTCCTCCAGGTCCTTGGCCAGCATCTTCTTCTGCCACTCGAGGAACTCGGAGAAGTCCCCAGCTCCATCTACAAGCTTATCAACTCTAGGGGAAGGGAGACAGACGTGCAGCTGGAATCCTCATGATCAAGACCATTAGGTCATAGGTCCTCTCAGGCGAGGACAGCCTCAAACAACATTCAGCCATACTGCTCACTCACAATCACATCTGCCTGTCTCTCCCATGTACCCACTGTCATCTCCTCACCCTCCTTCCATCCACTTTTCTGTCCACTCTTGCTCTGTCCTTGTCTGTCCACCACGGCCCATGGGTGGAGTCCTAGAAGCAAGCGAGGTCAAGGGGAAGGGAGCAGGTATTTTCCAAGTCTTTCCCTACACTGGTCTGTTTTCTCACTCACAGAGCAGTGATTATCTCTATAAAATGGAGCCATGAGCCTGACATGGCCCTGCTTGCCTTCCCCCCACCACAGCAGGACCAGAGATTGCTCATGACACTGTGACATGCACCTGGTTTTCATCCCCATTTCTTGCCATACAACTGGACACCTAAAACACTTGAGAATTTCTAAGTGTCTTTTTTTTTTTTATACCTGGAGGGACAGCCATGGGTGCTCTTATATTTTTGGTTGTGAGACTAGCCTTTAACGTTTGAGTCAACCCTCCAGGCCCCAAGTGTCTTTCTTATGCAAATGAGGTAAGCACAGACAGGTGGTCTCTGGGCGCCTCCAGCATGGGGCTGGTCACCAGAAAGACCCAAGCAGGAGCCGAATTTGGAAGTTTCCGCTTCACCCTCAGCATTGTCCAGGAAACTGGACAGGAGGGGAGGTAACCGCACACACCAAGAATTTCATGAATCACACACATGTCAAATCCCCAAGTAACATAAAGGTCAGGGTTCACATGAGTTTCTGGAGAACTGAGCAGGTGGAGGATCCTGGAGGCTGGTGATTAAGTGGGGTGTAAGGCTCTGAGCCTGGTTTCCTACTCTCTGTCCAGGCAGTTCTTCTCTGTGCCCTCGGTCAAGCTTTTTACAGTGAATTGCTATATGCAATTAAGCCTGACCCCAGGTTCTTTGAGCTTCTGTAGCCAATTAATCAAATGGGGGAGGGACGCAAGAGAGATGGTTTAGTGGTTTGTTTTTTTTTCTTTTTTTTTTCCTTTTAGTTTTGGTTTTTTTCAAGATAAGGTTTCTCTGTGTATCCTTGGCTGTTTTGGAACTAGCTCTGTAGACCATGCTGGTCTAGAACTCACAGAGATCTGCCTGCCTCTGCCTCTGGAGTGCTGGGCTTAAACCACTGTCTGGGTGAGATGTTTAGCTTTTAACTTGCTGTTCTATCAGGAGGATTGAAGTTCACATCCCAGCTCACAAGAGGCAGCTCATATTTATTTTATTAAATCTAGCTCTAGTGTATCTTCCGGCCTCCTCAAGCACCTGCACACACATGTCCATATACACACAGAGATGTGCATCTTAAATGGTAAAAAATAAGTCTTAAACATGAAAAAAGAAAGGGGTTATGAAACCCCAAATTATATATGTTTGGTTAGAAGCACAGTTAAAACTACCTGGGGACCTGAGGGTGCTGATTAGTGGTAGGGGGCGTGCCTGGCATGCTCAAGGCCCCGGATTTGATGCCCAGCATTGCAAGAACAAAATGACACATATAAACAACAAAACCTATTTGATGATTACAATTGGCATCTTGGGATAGACAGTCTTGAGGACAGAGCCCTTGCCTTGCGGCATTTACCATCCCCTCCAGGTAGATGGTGCCACAGCAGAACTGAATTAGAAGACACCCAGATGGTGTCTATTGCTGTAGCAAGCTTACAGGCCGGTAGAGGGACATCTTAGGTTTGAGAAAGGTGTTGCTGAGTGAAAGCATGGAGCAAACAGTAGGACTGAGTTGTGTGTTCTTGCTCTGAAAGAGCTGGAGTTCCTTGTTTTGTATAAATGAGAATGGACCAAGGAGAATCAGCCACTTGCTAGTCAGGTCTATACTAACACAGGGATTGATTCCAAGATTCCACGGGAAGGTTTGGGTGTTAGCGGCAAGGCATGGCCCAGGTAGCTGAAGGCATGAACTGATGTGTAGCAGAACAAGGGAAATTCAATACTGTTTTACTGTCATGAGAGGCTCAGGGCAAGAAATGGTAGTGACCTTCCCCAGTCACACCTCATCCTGGAGGGGACAGGCGGTGTGAGCTGAGCCACTCCTACTTTTGGAACTGAACTAACAGAAGCCTGAGAGTCCTGAGAGGCTTTCATGACTGAACTGGAGAACAGTAATAGGACAACACCTTCCGGGTCACACATCCTTCTCCTGTGAGGGATTTGTGTTCAAAGATGGGCAGTGGACTGTGAAGCTGTCAGATCTGGACTTTGTCTTCGGCTGCTTGTTTGATTGTTAGCTGGCCAAGCCTAAGTAGCTTTGAACTGGGGGGGTCACCAGAAAGCCCAGGACAAAACCTGGATCCAAGTGCTGGGATCTATGAGGGCACAGGGAAGACTGTTGAGCTGATTTCACGAGGCCAGCATCGCCGCCAACCACACCTACTCCCCCCAGGACTCCACAACATGCAAATGCAAATTCACATGAGCTCTTGGACAGCTCAGCAGATAGAATCTTAGAGGGTGTGCACCTCGGTAGAGTAGGGTGACACCCACAGGTTCTCCTATAGGCTCTATGCATCTCTCCAACAAACTAGTAGATTAAGTAAGTGTGCCCCTGAGTTCCGTGAGCTGTTCTAGAAAGCGAATCAAACCCTAGGAGGGGACTTGAAACCTGATTTATATTCCACAGGTCTAGGGAAGGCCAGCTGGGAACTGCAATTAGCACCTTCAGGGTGACATCTTGGGGCTGTAACCCCAGCCCCACCAGGTCTGGTGCTGTCTCCAGAGAGTGCTGAGCTGCTGTCCACTGTAAGTTTTGCTGACTTGTGGAGAGAAATTTGTTGCTGAGAACTTAGGAAAAACTGAAGTGGGTTTTGCTTGTTTATTTTGAGACAATGTCTTTCTGTAGCCCAAGCTGGCCTAGAACTCTCCATCTTCCCACCTCAGCCTTCCAAGAGCTAAGATTATTATGTGGGCCACCATGCCATGCCTTGCCCTGGCATTGCTTGTGTTTTCCTCAATGAATTCAGTGCCTCCCCCTCCTCTCTGCTGAGCAGCTTGACGACAGGCTCTTCTTCTAGGCTTTTCTCTTGAGGTCAATACCCTTGAGGGTGGAAAGGAAGTAATTAGATAATGCCATCTGCCCCTCACCTCTGCAGTTCCTTCTCCACCTGCCGCTGGTATAAGGCCCCTTCTCGAAGGATGGTGGCTGTATTCAGCTTGACTGGGAAGTTGTTAGGCTGTGGCAGAGGGGAGGAATGGATGGTAGGTGTCTCAAAAACAAGTGTCCTGCTATCAGCCATCAAACCCTTCTAACTTGTCCCCTGCTAGGCTCTCTCTACTTCAAGGGTGAAGCTGTCTGTGGGTCCCTTGCCTCCTCCAGCTCCCATTCTTAGAGCCTTACTTGAGTCAGGCAGGTGGGAAGTCTGAAGAAGAAGTCTACAAGGCCCTCACCTTGTAGAAGGTCAGATTTGAAGTCCTGCGTATTTGGGGTGCAGGTTGATGCTGCTGCTGCTTCTCCAACTCCTGTAAATCAGGAAGAGGTAGTCCAGCATCTGTGCCTGCCTAGTGTCCCTGGAAAGGTCGCCCATTCCCTTCTGTCCTCACTCTGGCTACCTATCCACATGTGCCGACCTTGGCCCCTCAGGATGGCATTCTGTCTTCCATTGCACTCTAAGCCTTGCTGGGGTGCTTAACCTTCTGGTTAGGAACAAGGAAAGGAAAGGGTCTGCTAGGCCTAGGGACTGTAGTCAGCATATAGGATTGCTGACTTCCTCGGGATTCAGTATCCCTTTCCTCTGTTATCCCCCAGGGCTGAGTTATCCACTGCCCTACTCCCTTTTCTTGGGCTGAATGTCTGCCCCATGCATCTTGCTGTCCCTTGATAAAAGTTGGTGAGACCTTAAGTGCCAGTTTTGGGGGAAAGCCCACAAAGGCCGCCATCAGAGCCCCAAGCATGCTGCTGACTGGAATACATGGCCCTGGGACTACCCAGCTGTTAGATCCTGTTCAAACAGCTGCCCCAGATGGCCCCACTCCTGAAGGAGTTTCTCTTTCATTTATTTCAGAAAGAAGGTCAGAACTTCTTTCTGATGGTCCCTAGTTACCCAGTCTTTTAATTAATTAGTATTTTTGAGAAAGGGTTTCTCTGAGTAACAGCTCTGGCTGTTCTGGAACTTGCTTTGTAGACAAAGCTGGCCTTGAACTCAGAGAGATCCACCTGCCTCTGCCTCCCAAGCACTGGCATTAAAGGCATACACCACCACCACCTGTCTATTTTATTTTATTTTTAAGACAGCGTCTTACTATTTAGTTATGGCTGGCCTGGAACTCACTATGTAGACTAGGCTGGGTCAAACTAAAAAAGATATGGACTATCTTTGCCTTCTGAGTGCTGGAATTAAAGGTGGGCATTGCTACAACCAGTCTTTCTTGTCTTTCTGTGTGGGTTTGGGGAGCTGGATCAGTGGGTAAAAGCATTTGCTGCTGAGTCTGATGTCTTACGTTCAATCCCTGGGACCAAATGGTAGAAGAGAAACACTTTCTGCAAGCTGCCCTTGGACTTCCACAAGTGTGCTGTGGCACAGGTGGTCACAGGCAAGGATGACCTGAACTACTGATCCTTCTGTCTCTAACTCTTGAGTTAAAGACTACATTGGATTACAGGCATGTACCACCACACCTGACTTATGTGGTGCTGTGGATGAAGCCCACAGGTTCACGAATGCCAGGCAACACTCTATCAACAGAGCTACATCCTCAGCCCCAGAAGGAAGAATTTTATGGCATATGAAAAATGCTACCATAAAGACTGGGCTCACCCCGGAGGCTGGGCATTACCTGTGCTTGGGGATCCCTGCGTAACCGGGGCATGGCACACCGTAGCTCGTCCATGTTCGCTCTCAGCAGCAGCTCCTGCCATGATACCATGCTGTTCTTTCCCCACCGGCAGTAACCCAGGGTCCACAGGCCATTGTGCATGTGTGTGGGGGGGTTGATGGTAGAATGAGTGTGCTATGCCTAAGGTCCCCAGCCTTCTCCCCTTCCCCTGCTCTTCATAGCCCAATGGGGTGTCTAGGGAAACAGGGGCTCCACATGGCCACCTCAGCATTCCGGCGGTTGTATCTTTTGATCATTTGCAGAAGTTGCTGCTCCTTGGGCTCCTGGTAGGTGCTCTGAGGGACCTGGTGGAGGGGCAGAGAGGAAAGCAAGTCTGTGGTTAGTGACCCATAGGGTAGACGGTCAGACAGGCAGCAGGTATGGGGGGTAGGGTAGACAGAGCTGTAAGGCCAGGGCACTGAGGGCAGGTCATTGTTCCAGATGAGAAGCCATGGTGTCCAAGGGGAGGCAGCCAATTCTTAGGACAGAAGGGGTAGGCAGAGGGGTCAGAGAGTGCCATACATTGTTTTTTTAAAAAAAAGGCAAGCTGTCTGTGCTATGAAGGGACCTTAAGTCTTTGGCCTGTTCTCCAGGTCATAGTCATAGTCCCTGGAGGAGCTGTGTCCATCACGGAGCAGGTGAGGAGCCAGTCTGGTCACCCTTGAGCCTGAGATCCCTAAGCCTGTCTCTCCAGTCCTTGCCTTCCCCTCTGCATGTTTTAAAGATATGGCTAAGTCAGCTCATCCAAACCTAAAACTCTCCTCTTCCTCTGGCTGCCCTGCCCCAGGCTTTGATGACCCTCACTGGGGACCCTCGTGCTCTTTTTCACCAAGGCCTTCCCCTGTGGCTGTGTCCCTCACACCCAGGGCCATCTCCAGTCTTGCCCACCTGCTTTAAAAGGTTTTACCAAGGGCCTGTTTTCTTGGCTTCTTTCTTGCTAACAGTTAGGAGGAGCTATGTTGGTTCCAGCCCACCTGAGAATGTGTCACTCACACTTTCTGGTTGTTCTGCTTGGCTGAAGGACAGTTCTGCTTGTCCTCTCACTATGACATGGTAGACCTTCCCTGAGCCCACTTCTGTATTGACAAAGCCTGTGTCCTCCATGCTCTGAGTCCATACTGGAAGGCTATATCTCCTTCCTTCCCCTCTCCCTCCCCCATTGCACTGTGACCTCCCCTGGCTGCCCACCAACTTGGGGGGGGGGTAGAAGGACACTGCCAGAGATTAGAGTGCATTTTTGGCTCATTGTCTATGCCTTCAGGCACCCATAGCTCCTAGGAGGTGAAAAGGAGTCCTGGCCATGGGTCAGAGCATGGAAGGTGTTGGACGCAGGCTTTGCCAATACAGAAGTGAGCTCTGGGAAGGTCTACTATGCCATAGTGAGGGGACAAGCACAACTGTCCCTCAGTCAAGCAGAACAAACAGAAAGAGAGGTGGCTATCGGGATTAATTCTTGAGGAGTTGGCACCAGAAATATCAGAGATCCTGCAGATGGGGAAACTGTGGAGTTGCTTAGCAACAAAGCCCCAGTAACCTATCTACCCATCCATACATCTGATTACTTATCATCTATCCACTACCCATGTATCCATTTATTCATCTATCCCCCGCATCCATCTACTCATCCATCCATCCTCTATACACATTTATTGAATGCCTTCTCTAAGCCAGGACTTAACCACCTGTGTTGGAAATACGGCGTGAATAAAATGGAGGAAGAGCCAGGCCATGAGCAGATCCACAGATTGTAAACATATGGAGAAAAGATGGGTCAAGAAGAAAACTGGGTGGGGGACTCAGCAGAGCTTCTGGAATGAGAAAATTTTCATTGAGACCTGAAAAATGGAGGAACTAGGGTGAGATGTGGGAGCCCCAGGGCCATCTCTTCTCACTCCTCTATAGTCCTTCATTCTACGAGGACCAGGTTGACCCAGGAGGCTGAATCCAGTGTTAGAGCTTGCGGAATCCACAGTCTAGTCAGGATTTAGCACTCAGACAGTCTGAGCAGGACCAATCAGACTTTTCTGAATAGCTCTTGTCCCAATATATTCTTTCCTGTCCTAGACAATGAATGTACAATGTAGACACAAGACCTGGATTCATTAAAAAAAAACAAAACTAAAATGAGATTAAGTTAGTCTAAAGATGAAATTCCCTTTCAGAGGAGACTAGAGTAGAGGCAGTCACAGAGAAACAGAACTGGAACCCTGATCAAACTATATCTGAAGCCTATTTCTACTTTAATACTGGTGATCTATTGTCTAAGCAAGTTGGCCTGTAGTTTCCTGTTACTGGCAGTTCAGAGCATCCTGACTGATAAATCAGAAACAAACAGGAGATAGAGAGGTTCTCAGTAGAGGAGACAGAGTAGGGGCCAGGCATTCTGGGACTCAGGCAGACAATCCTGACCAAGCCTGAGAAGCATATACACCGTGTTTGTCAAGCATACTATCTAATGGGGAGGGTGGGTGCAATGACTAATGGTGAGCTCTAAGCATTATCCAGGCAGGTCTAAACCATGGCTAGGTAGTATCACTTAGCACCTCCTAATTGGGTTCAGAATGTGATGGCCTCTGGATCAGCCAACTTCCTTCTCTGTGTAGGTGTGGAGGGTGTCGGGGGTGGGAGGTGTATTGTGGGTCACTGAATACTACTGGGTGGTCCAGTACACCCTTGACCCTGGAGGAGCCCTGCTGCCCAATGAGGCCCCTACAGTCTGTTCTCCCCGTCTGAACATCCTGCTGGTACAGACCCATGCCCAGCACAAATGCCCAACTCACAGGCTTTGGCTTGGCCATAGTGGGTACAGGCTCAGGCATTCTAATGGCACGGGGCTTTGGCACAGTCAGGTTGAATTCCTTGGGCTCTGTGACCTTGGCCTTGGTCTTCAAGGGAGGAATTTGATCGGTTGGCACTCCCTCCAGTTGGTTGATCAGCTCCTGGACCTCTGGCTGCCATCTTGAAGGCAAAAGTTGAGAAGGCACTAGAGTCGCATCCTAAACAGGTTGCTAAGAAGCTGGCCCCTGGGATCCGAAGGACCCTTAGTGTTTGGCTGTCCTTCAGGGCGAGGTGATGGTGAGCAGGTGACTTTTCCTCACTAACTTGTGAGTCAGTTAAGACACACTTTTCAGTACATGCATCAAGGTTCCCTTTGCACAGATGAGGAAACTGAGGTCCATGGGATAGGAAAGCTGGGAGGTTGAGACGCCCCCACTTCAGGGATGTGGAGCTCTCTAAGGATGAGCAGGAACTGGCGTCTGAAGCTACTACAGGTGGTACATATGGTACTGACGGAGGTAGCTGGGAACAGGGAAAAGAAGCTGGCAAAGGGAAAGGAATGCTCTGTAGCAGAACTGTTGGTGACAGGTGCAGGGAACAGTGGGGGTGGGGCGAGGGCCACATTCCCCTAAGGGACATCCAACTGTCCTTGTGTTCAGCCTCAAGGTCCCGTGGAGCAGGGATTTTAGATGGGTCTTGATAGGTGGCCCAGAGGTCTAGGAATCCCCGTTTCACTTTCCAGATCTTGAGTGGACCCAGGCTATCATGAGCAGCCTGTTCAGAGTTTCCTCCTGTCAGGCTCCTCAAGGGGAGATGCATGGCTTGAAATGGTTTCAGACTCCCACCTGCCTCTGCCTCCCGAGTGCTGGGATTAAAGGCGCGCACCACCACCGCCCGGACTCAATTTTAGAACCAGGACTACACAGAGGTAGAGAGGCTGCCCTGAGGTCTAACAACAAAGGGTTCTCATCAGATTACGCCTGGACTGGGCCTCTAGCTTCAGGGTAGGTGTGGGGAAGCAGCTGTAGGCCTGTGCTGAGGCTGGTCCCAGAGAGGGTTGTGGTAAGTATGGAAATAGCACACAGCTGTCTCCTCATTTGGGGGAGTTTGTCCTAACTGCTAACAGTGGGGATCATTTGGGACAGGAGAGCTCTCCTGGCAAAGGAGTAGCTCTGAGGAACCCCACTATGGGGCCAAAGCCTCCTACACGTAGCTAGCACATGGACAGTGTACTTGGGTCCAGCCTATCTGCCCGTCCCCAGGAAGAAAGATATGAGGCTAACCCAGTCCTCTCAGAGGAATCTAGGAGCTCCACACTGCATCCTGCTGTCCCTGCCACCGGCTGTGGTAGATAGATCCATTGCATCTCAGGCCTCTCACCCTGACCTGGGTCATGATCTGGCCTCTCACAGAGCTTCCATGAGCAGGAAGGGAATGAGGAGCACCCCCCCCCCACCCGAGACACCTGGAGTAGGCACCAGACAGTTTTCAGAGACCCAATATCCTGCCACAGCTGACCCACCTCATCAGAGGGTCAATCCAGTTCTCCTTCACATGGGATGTTTCATAGATGAGGCTCCACTCGTCCTTGATCCATGAGCACAAGTTTAAGGGGTTAAAGAAGAACCTGAGGAACTGAGGTAGAAAGTCACTGATCACCTCGGCTGTGGCTCAGACACCACCCACTGATGCCCCAGCACTCCTCTTAAAGGCCAGAACAGGCTGTGACATTCAGGGGGTCACACACACTGCAGGTGGACATTTATTCAGCTTCCAGGCCTGGAAGGCCCTTTGCTCCACTCCTGGGTAAGAGGCTACAGGGACACACAGACGGCTGCCTGCCTCCTACCCTGCCTAAGTCCAGTGGGATGTCTAATGCTGGGAATGTAATAATGTCATTTTCTGTCCCTGTAACCTTGTCACTATAGCACTGCAGGGCTAGGGCTGGGAAAGCCCTAAGCTCTGGAAGGTGGGTTGTCATCTGACCATTCACAGTTGCTGTCTGACCTCAGCCCTGAGACTGAGGCAGTCTCCAAAGCCAATCAGAAGGGAAAGTCAATGGCCCTGGGGCTACAGTTATGCCATTATCCTGTTTGCAGGATCCAGGGACCGCATCAGAGCCCAGGAGAGCTCTGTAGTGACACAAGAAACACAGCTGGTACTGGGAAGTGACCCTGGAAGTACACGGCCAGTTGAGAGGACAACGGCGAACAAGGCTATGACCTCCCAGTGTGACTCCTGTCCTCATCAGCTTCATCCTCACCTATCTCTTGTGAGGATCAATTCCTTGTGACCTGCAACCCTATTCCAAACAGAGCAGCATTTCTCAACCTGGGGGTCATGACTCCTTTGGACGTGGGGGTCGAGGGTCACCTAAGACCATCCTGCATATCAAATATTTACATTACAATTCATAACAGTAGCAAAATTACAGTTATGGAGTAGTAGCAAAAATAAAGGGTTGCAGCATTAGGAAGGTTGAGAACCATGGTTCCAGAGCTTTCCACAGTTCCCCGCTTGGCAGGCAGCCTGCCCACTTTCATCACCTACCTCTATGGCCTCTCATCTTCTCAGTCCTTACCCAGGGCCAGGGTCCTATCACCCACTTCCTAATCTCTCAGCTGTCAGTCTTGGCACCTGAAGGGGAAGCTGGCCTCTGTGGCTGGCCTCTGGGGTTCTCACCTCCTTTGTGCTGGTCCAATCCCATTTGGGTACGTCCTAGCATTCTTTCTATTCCCCTGTTCATCACCACACCTTCACACCAGCATCTCAGCAGGGTCAAGGCCACCGTTCTCATTGGGATGTGGGGGCAGAGATCCTGCCAGAGTGGGGGAAGGGACTCTCTGTGCATCTAAGAAAACCCTGACTTGGGGGGAGGGCTAGAGAGATGGCTCACTAGTTATGATCATGTCCTGCTCTTACAAAAGACCGGAGTTCAGTTCCTAGAACCCATGTTGGTGTCCTACAATTGCCTGTAACTCCCACTCCAGGGGCACCAAGGCTCTCTTCTGGACTCTGAGGGCACTGACATGTGCACATATCTACATCGTGACACACGCACACAATCAAAAACCAATAAAACATTGGTTGGCATTGTGGCATATATCTTTAATACCAGAAATTGGGAGGCAAAGGCAGGAGGATCTCTGTGAATTTGAGGCCAGTCTGGTTTATATATTGAGTTCCAGACCAGTCAAGACTACATAGTGAGACTCTACATAAAAGTAGCCTTTGGCCATCTGGAAGGTTCTTATTACATGAGTGTGGGGTGACTTCGAGCTCTTCTGCCTGTGGTCTTGGAGGAATGGGCAGCGTCCCCAGTGGAGGCTGCCTTCCAAGCAACCTGGGCTGTGATACTTTCTGCTGTGTCACTCCTAACCACAGCAGCAGCAGCTAAGACAGGCCAACAGCTGGTGCCAACAGCTGGATCTTCATCTTCACCTGGCTTCTTTCTAGGTCTCTGAGGCAGGTAGAGGGACCCTTATGGGCCCAGAATCACCCAATGGGGCATGGAGTATGGAGTGGACAAGGGAAGGCCTTGTGTCGGTCACTAATCAACCTCTGCAGCTTTGCTCCCTGGAGTTTTCTTTTTATTTGGAGCCTACACAGGGTAAGGAAATATTCCACATTTATTAATTTATTTATTGTTTTTTTAAAACAGGGTTTCTCTGTAACTTTGGAGCCTTTCTGGAACTCTGTAGACCAGGATGGCCTCAAACTCACAGAGATCCACCTGTCTCTGCCTCCCAAGTGCTGGGATTAAAGGTGTGTGCCACCACCACCCAACAAGGGAATATTATAAGATGATCTTTAGCCTCAGTCTTTTTCCCCTCTTTTTCCTTCTCTGTATCTTTCTTTCTCTCCTCTTTCTCTCTCTTTTAACTATGAGACAGGGACTCAGGCTGGGCCTCCTAACTCAGCCTCCCAAACTGTTGGGATTATAAGCCACAAGGCCTGCCTCCCATGTGAGTTTTCTGAGCTGTCGTCACAAGCCTCCAGAGCTCCCTAGGTTGGTCAGTGACCAGGAACTGGCCTGGGGTCACTGTTCATTTCCTGAGAGCAATATGTGATCTACACCCCAAGCATCTGTTGAGTCAGCACTGTGGGACTCAGTGTAGGAGGCAAGGTGGATGTTTGCTTAATAATCCTTACGGATTCCAGCACAAAGCAGCAAAGCCTGAGCCAAGTACAGATCACGCCAAGTGCAGAACTGGCCAGAGCAGTCCCAAAGCATCACCGAGAAGATGCCATCAATTTTAAATTCCTTGTCATAAAAATGAAGCCTTTGCTTCAGATAATTCTAATTGCTTATCCATCATGGGGTATGTGCAGGTAGGAAAGCTGGTCCTTCATAAACCAACCAGATAGTCAGAGATAGACAACATTGTACTATACAGGGCTGTCAGATGGTATTAAGCAGAGAAAAGATGAACCTGCCAGCTTCTCTAGCTAAAGGAAAAAGTGGGGTCGATCAGATACACATCTGGCCCCAAATTCTTGCCTTCCTGGTTGGTAACCTCAACCGCAGTATTGTGTTGGGGGCAGTAGCACTCACCTTGCACGTCTTGTGCACAGGCTGGGACTTGATGATGCTGCAGAAGAGCTGGAAGCCGAGCTCATCCAGCTGGAACATGGCCAGGTAGCATATTACTGGGGAGAGAGCTTGGTGTGAGGAGTGCCCAGCTGCCCTGCAGAGGGGCTCTGTGTGTGACCTTGGGAGAATTCTGCAGCTGCTGAGAGTCTTACAGGCCCCTTATTCTGTCAGGGCACACAAGGACAGGCCCATATGGCAACTACCACTTCATGTACAGTGATTGTAGAACTAGCCACTAGGGGCTTTTGGCTTCCACACACTGCATTTGGTTAATTCTCAGAAATCCCAGAATTTCTCTGGGCAAAAGTGATATCATCTTTAGTTTTGTCGATTTTGTGAGCTGAGTCATTCTGAGTCTTTGGGGATGGAAGCTTCTCTGATGAGGCTGTGTTTCTGTCTCTGAGCCAATGAGGGTCAGCCCAGTTTTGCATCTGGAACCAGCTACCTGTCTCAGCCTACCAGTGTGCACAGCCCTCAGCTCTCTACCCCTGGGCCAGAATTAAGGCCGACAGCAGGTTCTACGTCTCTCTACCCTATGGTAGCACCAGCCACTGCCCACAATAGTCACCATGTTCTGTGAATGTGGACAGTGGTCAGAGGTGGCTCTCATATTTAATCTTTCCCTGGATGATCCAGACTACCATATGCCTAGTCTCTCCACAGGTATCAGGGTTAGGGTCACAAACAAACCTCAAGAGCTGCCTCATTTGGCCCAATCTGCCCTCAGGGGCATTCTCTTCCAGATAAGTGGCTGGGGGCGGGGCAAAGGCTGCACTCTGTTCTCAAGACCCAGGTTTCAGTTTCCCCAAGAAACAGTATGTCTAGCCTGGGCCACATACTTATGGGTACGTGAGAACCAAGTGAGAGAAAGAGCAGCAGAAGCATGAGGAGCCGCCTTCTGTGTCCAGAAGCTTGCCGCTTGTTGGCCTCTTTCAAGTCAACCTGCCAAGGTCTGTGGCTAGTTTCCTCTCTAGTCCCTGTCTGGAGTGGGCAGCAGGCCTGGGCCTCACGGACATATGGGTAGTGACTATACACACCCTCAAAGAGGTTGTAGTCGGCCCACAGGCAGAGCTGACCATCCCGCACATAGAAGGCATCCACCACGATGGTCAGTAACTTCTGGTATTCCAGGCAGCCAGACAGAATCTCCAAAACAAAGGCAAGCTTTTGGGGGTTCAAAGTCTGGAAAAGAAAGCCAGGAGAGAGCCCTCAAGGACCATGAGATCAAGGCTGAAGGTAGGGGATAGACACTCCTACATGACCAGTTCATTCAGCTCTCCTAGAGCAGTGGGCAGTGACCACAATGACTGGACCCTGAAAGACCCTACAGACCCCCTCCTCAAAACCCGCAGCTAGCATGCTCCTGGGGGAACGTCCTGTTTGCTTAAAAAAAATTCTCCAGATCAGCAGCCAGCCTGCTTTCGTAAGAACATCCCATGTACTTGAGAGAGCAGGATGTCTATGAGATAGGAAGACTGCAAGGCAGGATATCGATAAGATAGGACATCAACAAAGCAGGTTGACTGCAAAACAGGATATCTATAAGATAGGAACAGGATGACTGTTGCCAGACATCCATGCTGAGAGAGGAAACCATTCATGCACCCCCCCCCCCCGCCTCATTCCGATAACCACGCTTTTGCTTCTGTAAACTTGCTTTTTGCTCTTCCCTATAAAAAGCCTGCCCTCCAGTTGGCAGGCGCGCAAGTCTTCCAAGAGATCTTGCCACCCGCAGGTACCTGTGTCTACTCAATAAACCTCTTGCTAATTGCATCCTGTGGTTTGGTCTCGGAGTGTCCTGGTTCTGGGGTCTTCCTCATCAGAGGAAAGGTCCTCTCTGAGGGTCTTTCAGACCCCACAATGGCAGGACCCCAAGGATGAATGAGGACAAAGTGGGTGCAAAGACAAAGACACAGAAGGACAAGCATTATGCAAATATTCTTCTATAAGAGGATAGGCGAATCCATAGAGATAGAAAGAATGGCCAGCAAATGACAAAGGAGGGTATGGGGAGCCAGGCAGCTGCTGTTTCATGGGGATAGAGTTTCAGGTTAGAAGGTTAGAGGGCTATGGAGATGCATGGAAGTGATGGCTATACAGTACTGTGAGTGTGTTTTGTGCCACTTGAAAACAGTTAAAATGGTCAAAATTTATGTCATGTGCATTTTACCACAAGGAATTAAAAGGAATTCATATAAAGGTTTTCAAATGAAGAAATAAAACATTATCCAAAAGAGTGCTGCATGATCAAGGGAAATCTGTGAGAGCTTCTCCGGGATAAAAAGCAGGATTGGAGCTCCTAGGCAGTAGTAAGAATTATGGTCCCTTAACCAAGCACGATGCTGCATGTCTTTTAATAGAGGCACTTGGAATAGAGGCAGGCGAAGTTCAAATCCATCTGGTCTACCAGAGATCCAGGTATATTAGGGAGACCCTCTCCTGATTGGGGGGGGGGGAGAGAGAGAGAGAGAGAGAGAGAGAGAGATTGAGAGATACATACATGATACAGACAGACAGACAAATAGACAGAGATACAGATTCTGAATTTCTGAATTCTGTCTCCTTTGGGGAGGGAGCTGGTCAGGCAGGGTAGGGCAGGGTTGACCTTTCTCACACTTTCAAACAATTTGGTTTTGTGACCAGTGTCAAGACTTTCTACCACTGTGATTAAAACAAAACTGACAAAAACAGTTTACAGTGGGCTGGAGAGATGGCTCAGCAGTTAAGGGCACTGACTGCTCTTCCAGGGTGTTAAGTTGGGGGCATAGCCTCCAGCCCCTGACTTGGGAGTTGCACTGCTCTGGAGTCCAAATCCCAGCATGCCATAGGGTATTTAAGTGAACTCCTAGAGGAGAAACACGTGGTTTTCGGGTCTGCATGGGCTCCCTGCTGTCCTGTCTCCCCGCCATGTGCTGGGCCACCCGAGAGCATCTTACTTAATAAAATGATGGGCATTTAGATTTGGTTTGATTTGACCTAATTGGATTTTTTTTTTGCACCAGCAGAGCTGCTCTTTCTCTTATCACAGGGAACCTGGGTTCAAATCCCAGCACCCACATGCAGCTCACAACTGTAACTCAGTAACTGACACTCTCACATAGACACACCTGCAGGCAAAACACCAATGTACATAAAAGTAAATAAACTAAAGAAAACAGTTTCTAGGTAGAAAAGATTAATTTGGCTCATGGTTTCAGAGGTGGTAGTCCACAGGTAGCTGGTTCCAGAGTAGAGGGAAGCTGATCATCATCTCATGGTGGCAGGACGCAGAGAAGGCTGGAGGCAGGGATATATCCTCCAAGGCACCCTTTCAGTGACCTGTTTCCTCAAGCTCCCACCAGCTCTGAATAATGCTATCAATGAAACTGTCCACTGACAAAACCAGAGCCCTCAGGATCCAACCACTTCCCCACCTCCGAACACTGCACTGGAGCAAAACCTTCAACACAGGAGCCTTTGGGGGACAATTCAGACCCAAATGATAATATGACCTGTGTGTGACACATGCTAATTATTTTATAAAGTAATTAATATTTTTAAATTAAGGGTTGAAAAGCAATTAAGTTTCATTGGAGAAGGAAAATGAGTATTATCTGCTTGAACCAGCACAGTGCTGAGAAACTTGGTGAGACACTTGCTGCTGAGCCTTTCTAGAAAAGCAATTTGGAAAACAGGTTTTGAGAGCTTTATTTTTGTGATCCTTTAAAAGAGTAAGTGTGCTTCAGGGAACTTAAGGAAGCCTCCCAGAACACAGAAAATGTTCACGTGCCCTCACTGGGGAAGAGGTCTAAGCAGCACTGAACAGGAACAAGGGTCCATCAGCAGGCAACCAATGGGTCAAGCATCATTGCTGCATCCTTCATACTAGTACGATGCAGCCATTAAAATGATGCCATGCTAAGATTTACACGGGGATGACAAAAGAGCACCACCCACGGCAGAACTGCGGGCTACGACTTTGGTGGCCGCAGAATGTATCTGCCACTCTTCTCTGTTCCTCTACATTCACACTTCTCTAATAACTTCAGAATTCCTAAGTTTTTCCACTGCTGGCTACCCCTTTAACAAATCCTGCCTCTGTCAAAGTACTTTCCAGAAAGGCTGCATCAAAAAGCCTTACAGCAGCCGGGCAGTGGTGGTGCACACCTTTAATCCCAGCACTCAGAAGGCAGAGGCAGGTGGATCTCTGAGTTTGGGGCCAGCCTGGTCTACAGAGTGAGTTCCACGACAATCAGAGAAACCTTGTCTCAAAAATAACAACAAAAACAAAACCAACAATTAAAAACAAAAAACCCTCTGAGTTTCCACAGTACCCATTTAAGGAAAAGTATCTCTTTTACTAATTTTTTTGCAGTGCTGGAGATTGGAAATGCGCTCTAGCTGAGACACACACCTCTACCGATAAACACTGGTATCTCAATGGTTTTAGTTTTTAAATTACATGTAAAAATTATTTTGTGTGCACGTGCATGCGTATGTGCACTCCTGTGTGCAGGCATACATGGCATGGCAAACATGTGGAGGTCAGAAGACAACTTAGGAATTGATTCTCTTCTTCCAGCATGTGTGTCCTTGGTGTCAACCTCAGGTCATTGGGTTTGACACTATGAGAACCTTCACTCACCAAGCCATCTTGCTAGCCCAGCCTTATTTTAAGGTTTGTTTTCTCTCCTCCCTCCAAGACAGAGTTTCTCTGTGTTACCCTGGATGTCCTGGAATTCACTATGTAGACAAGGCTGTCCTTGACTTTACAGAGATCCATCTGCCTGCTTCAGCCTCCCAAGTGCTGGTATTAAAGGTGTGTGTCACCACCATCTGACTCATTTTTTGTTTTTTGTTTTTCGAGACAGGGTTTCTCTGTAGCTATGGAGCCTGTCCTATAACTAACGCTTATAGACCAGGCTGGCCTCAAACTCACAGAGATCAGCCTGCCTCTGCCTCCTGAGTGTTGGGATTAAAGGTGTGCACCACCACCACCCAGATAATTTTTTTTATGTTAGAAGAATAACAGGGTAATAGAAGAGTCTGCAGACCCAGGACACATCCCAAGTCATGACATAGTTTCCCTGTGAGTGTCATTTCTGGTACTGCCCTTGCTTCCCAGGACTAGAAGAAGCCTGAAAAAGCATTCTTGAGCCTGCTTGCTAATACAACAGAGTGTGCAAAGGGACACTACCTTACCTTTGCTTCCCTGATACCTACAGCACTAAGATGTGCCTGTATGCGCAGAGGCAGCAATGGCAGGAGAGGTTCCTTGCAGGGACAGCCCTGGAGGAACTGGGCTGATCCCTGCCCCTCCACCCTTCCCCAGACTCTCAGCATAAGGTTCTAGCTGGAGTCCCAGCCTGTTTCCCAGGTTCCTTTTGGAGCACATCTGGCTACAATATTTCCACTAGCCACTATTGTTCTCAGCTCTGCTGCTACTCTTCCTGACATCTCAACTTTTCCATAAGCGAACACCTTGGGCTTGTTCCTCCATGATTCACAAGTACTCCCAGGTGACCTGGTCCAACTTCAGGCTGAGAATATGCTGGCCCTGAAATGTCCCCATCACCGGTCTGTAGCTCTCCCTGCACTCCAGAACCCTCTACCTGGCTGTCTGCTTGGCCTCTTCACTTGGAGACAAGCATATGTCCACTAAGGGCTCTGCTGTTGGCCTCCTGAGATTGACCCATGATATCCCAAGTGCCCTTTCTGTTTCTCTTCTTGCCCTCCTTGATCTATCTGCCTTCAGTCCAGATATCTAGAGGCATTAGAGTCCTGTTTCCCAGCTGATTCCAAATCCAGGAAGGTTGATCGTGAAGGCTAACCATCATATCCCCTCTTCAAAGTTTCTCACAGTTCCTGGAGTCCAAGAGAATGGTGCCAGCTCCTGCATGGCTTCCAGTAAGGGCTTCATGCTGCTCCATATATGGCAGAGAAGAGGAGGGCACCAGGTATGTACAGAAATTAAACACAAGAGCTAGCCTTGCTTCATAATAACATACTCTCTTGTTAAGGCCAGGACAAGAACTCACTTGGGGAGACACATTCAGTCTTGAGGGCTTCACCCCCAAGGACTGAATCATCTCTCCCAATGTCATCTTCAAACACTGTGGTCCTGAGGAATTCAGCTTCAGCATGAGATTTGATGGGGAAATCACCTTCACACTATAGCGAAACTTTTATATTAGTATGTGCAATGGATTCTTACTTATATGTACTTTTTACATAATTTTTACTTATTATTTACTAGATGCAAACCAAGTTTCCTGAAAAGTCCTTAGAGAGAACCAAATGCTACTCTCTGCTTCAGTCCTAGGACTGGCACTGAGGGAGACTTTTGCTGAAAACAGTTTTGAGCCATGGAAAACACTGGATATTTTAATAAATATTAATATGGGACACATTTCCTGTGTGACATTCTGTCCTTCCTTCCTTCCTTCCTTCCTTCCTTCCTTCCTTCCTTCTGGGTTTCTCTGTGTAGTCTTGGCCGTCCTGGAACTCACTCTGTAGACCAGGTTGATTTTGAACTCGTAGAGATCCGCCTGCTTCTGCCTTCCAAGTGCTGGAATTAAAGGTGTGCTCCACCACCACCCAGCTATTTTTTTTTAAATTTTTATTTTATGTGTAAGTGTGTTTTGCTTGTGTGTATGTCTGTAGTACACCATGCACATGCAAGCACTGCCTATAGAGGCCAGAAAAAGGCATCAGATGCCCTGGAACTGAAGTTATAGATGGTTGTGACCTGCCATGTGGTGCTGAGAATTGAATTTGGGTCCTTTGGAAGAGCAGCCAGTGCTCTTAACCACTGAGCCATCTTTCCAGTCCTCTCTCACCTAAACTCTTGTACAAGCTCCATTAACTTCTCTCTTCCTCTTCTGGCTGCTTGCCCCAGAGCTATCCAGCTGCCTATGCTTTTCCTGTTAGTCCTGCCCTGCAGGATCTTTCTATGCTCATTCCCTCTTGTCTACAGTCTGGGCTCTGCTCTGATCTTTCCCTGCTTACATCCAACCTCCCCATGGGCCAGCTATATAAGCTGAATAGCCAGGTCTGAATAGCACACAGGCCTTGTTGGACTTCATGTCTACCACTCTCAGTCATAGGTAAGAGCCTTGTGCTCCTGGGGTCTCATCTTGGTAGGTCCCTCTGCCCAGGAAGCCCTATCCCACTTCCAGGGATCTGTTGCTCCTCAAAGTCAGAGTTTTCCTCACTGCTTGGCTACCTAGCGTGCCTATGGTGCCCATGTTGCCCTCTCCTTCGTCCCTAGTCCCAGGTGGATTCCCCAAGTACTTAAGCATAGCCTGTTCTTGCCAGGCAAGAGGCTTCTGAGCACAGGGAGAGCCAAGGTGGTACCCAGGGACTGACCCCACCTGAGTCCACCTACAAAACTCAGCCCTAGATCAATGCATCAGTGACTTTATGCTTACTCCAAAGAGTTGGTAACTAATTAGGAGTCGAGACAGAAGCCACAGGCTAGGCCGCCAGAGCTGCCAGGGTACTTCACACTTGAGTGGATGGGATCCCTTTACTCCTGCACTCTCCCCGAGGCCCAGCCAAGTTGGCCCAGGCAAACCCAGGCTACTGCAGCTGGATCCACACTGCACAGCCAGCTATAACCTAGTTTCATCTTCTCAGACAGCGGCTCCAAATAAGGATATGTCCACACTAAGAAGAGCCTAGGGCACCATGCACTTAGGCAGTCTGCCCACCACATGCTCTGCCCTGAAGCCTTCTGTCAGCCTCTGCCTAGTGGTCTAGGGGTTGTGCAGCTTTCTGGCAGGTGGCATCTCCAGCCTTGACCTGGCGGTCAGTATATTCCAGCGAGTTCTGGCAGCAGGAGATGAAAGTGTGTTGTTAAACTGAGTCAGTGCCCAGGCCCCCATCCACCTTGGCTTCAGACGGACTTTGGCAGAACCTGAAAGGACCAACATCTGAAGCGGGAGTTGCGTCTCCACTTAAGATGGAGCTCAGCTTCCCGGGTATGTCAGCTCCATCCACTGTTGCCAACTTGCTGGGTTGCATCAGAGTTCTAGGCTTCTCGTGGAAAAGGCACACAGATGGTCACGACTTTGTGATTTTCCAAGTGACAACTAGGACTCATTTACAATTAATCTATTTGTTGTTAATGGAAAAATTGTCTCAAACCAATTATGAGAACTAAAACTCAGTTTTCTGTGGTCACCAAAGAGTAATGACAATGACTTCCCTCGGCCTCACTTGAAAGAAACGGCCCTTCTTTTATCAAGGCCCTGAATGGCTTCGCAGCCCAGGGAGTACGCTGGGTGTTCCAAGTGGGTGGCGATAGCAGGAGTGGCAAGGACAGTGGGAGGAACAAATGGACTGTTCAAAAAACACCAGGAAGGCAGTATGGCTGGTGGAGGGGATGTGAGGATGGGTGGAGAATGAGGAGGGCACAGTGGAGCTGAGGGGCTCTGCAGGGAGGATAACTACTGTGTCACATCTGTGGGGAGATCAGGAAAGAGAGGCGAGAGGGAGCTTCAGCAGTGAATAGGACGGGAGTGGGTGCAGGTGCAGGCCTCACCTGGGCCAGGCAGGGCTTGATGACTGAGCTCTTAGTGGATACTCATGGGAACCTAGAGGACATATATCCTTAGACAGCACTACTTAGACATTTGTGCTCTTTGCCATTGGATGCAAGAGTCGAAGGTTGGGGAGAGGGGTCTGTGCTGCAGCAATTAGCAGGTGAGGTGACTTCTGAGTACTTTGACAAAGAGAAGTCAGAGCCTCCGGGGGTGGGGAAGGGGACTCAGAGCGGTGTCCAGAGAGCCAATCAGAATGTTGCAGTGCTGGTGTGTAGATAACAATGGGGCAGAGTCTGGAGCTGCCAACAGAGAGTCTGCTGGGGGAGGGGTGTGCTTTGGAGAGTTAACCATCCAAAACTGACTTGGAAGTACAGCTGCCATTGTGACAAGCTCAGGTTGGACATTGCAGTGATACGCTGTCCCTGTCTGCCTCTCTCTTACCTTCTGCAGGGGATACACTGCTGTTTCTATCCTGGATGTCTCTGCTTCCAGAACCTTGAGAGCAACGTTCTGTAAAATTTCCCCAGTCTCAAGCATGTTGTAGCAATGCTCAAACATTGAACTGGGGTCTAAGGGAGGTGGACAAGCACCAGGTGGAGGCACTTAGGGTCCAAGGCAGTTAGGTCTTGGAGAGGGCCCAGACTCTCTCCTGGAGTTCTCATCGGCTGAGCACAGTCCACCAAGAACTGTGTCCATAAGCAAGTCCCTACTTTCCCCACTGTTGCTGTCCACACGGTCACAGCTTTCCCTGTGTGGGGACTGGGCTGCTTCTCCTAATGCACCATGGGAGTTTTGTAGTTCTGGGTAGAGCCAGGTCCGATGTGCATTCAGGACGCGGGGAGCCCTCTCATGGCAAAGGGGTGCCTCCACAAGGACCACCAGTCTTCTGATGGAGTGCCTAGTCTCATACTTCTCCCCACAGGAAGGAATGGATCTCATGCTGTTTGCTGGAAATGTCAGGTGACACATGTCACTGATGTGGTCTCCCAAGAAACCCCAGTGGCTACCCTGACCCTACCTGCTGTAAGGAGGCAGCTGCCGTCTCCAGGAACTGTTCGGGATTGTCCTTCTCAGGCTTAAATTTGTCAAGTTGCTCTATTACAATCTCGATGCATTTTTCATAGTAGGTCATCTTTTAGGCAGAGGCCTGAAACAAACCCACACAGATCACATCACCCATGACCTCTGAGTGGCCAGTTTGGGTGTTGGCTGAAGTGGTTGCAGGACCCTTACCCACCCCAGAAGGAAGTCCCTGAGGGTTCTGGGTTTGAACCGTGAGAATTTTGGAGGTAGGGGGTTTGGGCTCAGGTGAGCTCAAACACACTACTTGGTTAGTTTATCTCAGGTCCCGGCCACCCAAGTGATCTGTTTGGTCATGGCAAGCCCACTTCAGGTCGCCTCTTAGCTCCAGCCTCTGCCCTCTCTGCCCTACACCCAGGGTTCCATGGCATCCACCAAAGCCCAACAGCCATGCTGTGGGTGGGGTGACCCCCAGGAAGAGCTCAGGTCAGAAAGCAGGCCTCTGAACATCCCCCAGTCCAGCTGGGACGGGTGGCTAGTTTTCAGCAGGCTCTTCCCAGAGCAGGTGAAGAAGACAGAAGTATTGCGGAAGGCTGTGGAGTTCCCAGGAGCTATGCCATGTGAATAGCAGGACCCATGCTCACAATACAATAAATGAAATAACAAGAAACATTCAAGTAAAATAAAAAGGACATAAACTGGAGAAGAAGGGCTGAGCACTAGCATGCATTCCCCCTTCATGTTTACTGACTGTGGATCTGATGTTACCAGATGCTCCAAGCTCCTGCTGCATCTACTTCCCCACCATGAAGGGCTGTATGTTGGACTGGAAGATAAACAAACCTTTTCTCCCAGAAGTTGCTTTTGTTAGTAATTCAATTTCTTTCTTTCTTTCTTTCTTTCTTTCCTTCCTTCCTTCCTTTCTTTTTTTCAAGATAGGGTTTCTCTGTGTAGTCCTGGCTGTCTGAAACTCACTTAGTAGACCAGGTTGGCCTTACTCAGAGAGATCCCCCTGCCTTTGCCTCAGAGTGCTGGGACTAAAGGGTTGCACCGTCACGCCCAGCTGCTTTTGTTAGTATTTCATCATAGTAACAGGAAATGAAACCAAGGTCCTCAGGGTGATGGCCAGTTCTGGCTAGTCATGCCAGGCCCAGAGGCTGATTTTTGAAAATTAGGAAGCTTTTCTAAGTGGTCAAAATGCCATAAATGAGAATTTAAGGAAGACAAAAGGGGAAGGAAGTAGGGACATGCTCAGAATTGAAAGATGTAGCTTTCCAGAAGGGTGAGGCCTCTGAGGGTTCTGCAGAAGAACTCATATAATCTGAGTAGGGTACCCCGAAAGTTTTCAGTAGAGATCAGGATTGCCAAGCAGCCTCATGCCTTAGCACTCCAAGATCCAGAAGGTCACCTGTCAAAGACCCTGCTTGACCTCTGAACAAATCCAGAGGGGAACAGGCATGGATCTGGGAGGCTGAGGTTGAACCCAAGGAAGTGTGGTTGTAGAGGAGATGCAGATGGCTCTAGGGTGGCAGCAGAGGAAGAAAGCAGGGTTCCCCTGCTGCCTTTGGGGGAACCTCTCTGTGGTGCTGCCTGGGAAGCTTCACTGAGGAGTTAGGGAGAAAGGCTGGAAAGACTTTCACTGAGGACCAGAGTCCCCATGCACCCTGACTGCATTCTGAGCCAGTTCTACCACAGCCAGGGCCTGACAGGGCTCCCAACACAAAGGGAGAACCAGTCTCTCTGAGAATGACCTCATAGAGTCTGCAAACAGCTTTGAAGCCCTGGGACCATGAACAGGCTCTAGGGACACAATAAGGAGGCTCCATGGGCACTGAGGGGAGGCATAGCTAGGACTCTATCCCTGCTCAGCCCTGATGACAGGCACCAGGACAACCTTTTCTCATGCCTAGAAACCCACAGGTCCATTTCATGGTAGATTCCTCATGGGTCAATGGGGTTTTGATCAATGGGGCAGGAGGAGACAGTAGCCTTCTGTCTTGGACAATGCCAGATTATTCAATTCATCGCACACAGATCCACACCTGCCAAGATGCAGCAGGTATGATGTTGGGTATGGTGAGAGGTTTGGGGCTGACCTGCACCCTCTGAAGCCTGCCTCCCTGGAGATTGTCCATTAAAGCCATCCTACCCTATAAGGAGCATCTACTGTTGGAGGTCTTCTGGAAGGCCCTGAGGGCTCCTATGGTCCTCTCCCTCTCTTTGGTCACTCAAGTTATTTCTAGTGAGCTCCCTGGTGAGAGACTTGACTACATGCTAAATGAGCAATAGATGGGCTTCATGCCCAGTGGCCAATTTCACCCTGTCTGAATATGGCTTCCTCTCTCTGGGAGGGACAGAACAAGCCAGACACTTAGCTCTGCCTACATGGGTAGATTTAGGCACTTTTCTGGACATTACTTCATGGAATTGGAGACCCGTGGCTTCCCCTCTGGCTTTGTTGGGGGTGCTCTGTGTTAAGTGAGCCTGGAACTAGAGCCCCCTTTGTGAGACCACATCTGCTAGGCAGTGCCCTGGAGGTCTGTACCTGTCCTGTCCCGTTCTCTTGACTGGTTAGTCCAGTAAGCTGTGATGTCATTGGTCATGCATGACCTTTGCCCTCCTTCTCTGGAACAGCTCTTGGGGGCCCTTTGTTCCACTCTGGATCTCTCCTAAGTGGAAAACAATCTCAGACACTCCAGGAATCTTGGCTAAAGGCAGCTCTGTGGGTGTGGGGAGGTCCTTTTTCCTCGTGTGTGTGTGTCCGTCCATCGAACTCCTAGTTATTAGTGTCTTGGTGACAAATAGCAGCGCTGTCAGGTAGCTCTGGAAAGATACCCGTCTCTACAGGTTTCAGTATGTGCTCCAGAGAAACCTAGTTTTTCTCAGTCAATGCAACTAGTGGACAAAAGACATGTGTTAGGTTCACAGCAAGTGCTGACCCTCACTGCCCATGCCGCAGAAGTCATGCTGGCGGTGGTGGGGTGCGGCTGCGGACTCCTCCAGTGTCAGATACGGTGTTCATGGAATCCTTCTCTGGCCTCACGTCTGAGAAAGAGCATGTGTCTAGGTGAAGCCTTAAATCCATTCACTTGTTCTCCCAGACTGAGCCCTCCCAATGCACCAAATGTGAGCTCCTGAGAGGGTTGGGTGGGGTGGGAGCAGTGGGCCCTAGGCCTTTGACCCTCGCTGCTGCCTTTGACCTTCGCTGCTGGGGGCAGATTGGAGAGGTGAAGTCTCAGGAGTTTATTCCCAGGTTCTTAGTTGTTGTATGACCCAGAAGGGCCTCAGCATGTCACTAGCCCTTAACAGTTCAAAGTCACAGCCTCTGACCCCTCTTCCTTTACTGGGGTCTTTGCATATGGCTCCTTTTTCTTCCCATAAGTTAGGTGATCTCTTTACATCTAGCTACATGCTGACATACCAAAGCCTGCCTTCTTTGCCTGATATTCCTTTCTGGAAACCTCCTCTGATAACAACTAAACGGTCATTAAGCCTGGGTGGGTATGGTAAGCAGGGCCCTGTCGCTCACCCGAACCTCGCCTAGGCCGAGAGTGATCTGTGAATGATGAAGGCAAAAATATAAAAAGGCGTAAGTACCCTAAAACAGCCCCTCATCTAATCTGGAAGATGTAGGTGGCCAAGACAAAACCAACCGAAAGGGCACACTGACTGAACCGAGGACCTCCACCATGCTGGGCTTCTGTCACTGAGCTCCATCCACAGAGATGCAGTAGGGGATCAGGAAGCCCTCATCGACTTTTTAAAAACACGATTTTTTTATTCTTTCAGTTTCACACATGGAGACAATGTGTTTTGACCATATCCATCCCCACATGATGACTTTGCTCAATACACTTCAGTTTTATTGTCTCATTTAATTGGGGGCTAGGTACAGTGATAATAATTTTGTAAAGAAATAAGAATAAAACCCATGTCGAGGAGTTTGGAGTGGGGAATCTGTTTCTCTAACCACAGAGAACTTTCTTTCTGGGTGAGCCTGAGGCCCGGCCTTCAAAGCCTCCCTCGATCCCTGGTGAAGATGTGAAGAACAGCACGCACACACACACACACACACACACACACACATCCCAGGACTCAGCAGAGAGTTTATAAAGATACGCTGCTGAGTGGTAGGGGTGGGACTCAGCCAGATAGTGCAGCCTAAAACACACCATGCCTTGGAGTCTACCTTCAGCACCTAGGAAAACAATGCAAACCAAATTGCCTGGAAACAATGTCCAAGAGTGAGCGTCTTTCTTTCACGTGTTCAAGGTGCCGTCCACGATGGCATGGGAGTCAATGCAGCAGCAGCTTGACAAACAGCCACGTTGCTTTCACAACTAGGAAAACAGAGGGCTGGATGCCTCCGAGTGCTCACCTTCTCCGTTTTATTCAGTCCAGCATCCCCTGCCCATGGCATGGTCCTGCCCACAGTTAAGATGGGTGAGTCTTTCCACATGTGTTAAGGTTATCAAGATTATGCACCCATCTACCTACTCACCAGACTGGAATGTCCAGAGGTCTCTTAGGTGGTGTAGATCCTGTCAACACCAGTCATTATTAGATATTCTGATTTTCTTTTTTTGGCAATTTTCCAATCTAGAGGGCTGAACTTATGTGGATGGGCTGTCCAGTGGTGCCAGGGAGAAAGGACTGCTTCCTGCTCCCCTACTGTGGAGCCTATATCTCTGCAGAAAGTGTGGGCCAAATGCCCTTGACTGACTGGAGTCAAGGAGGACCAAAGGAATCAGTCCAAACACTCCCAAATCCAGAGTGGACCTTGATAGAAGGACACAGAAGGAATGAGTGAAAGAACCAAACTGAAGGTGGGAAGGAGCTCTTGAGAGCCTAGCCTGTCTCTAACTATCCAGTCTGAGCCATCTGGGGCAGGGGTGCCTTGCAGGGACCTGTACATCCACCTGTGACAAAGAGCAGGTGCACTGTGAACTCAGATGGGTACGAGAGAAAGGATTCGTGGATCCTGAATCCCCTCTGAAATCACCTAAAACGTAGGCAAAACAATCACGGTTTGGGTAGGAAACGGGCACAGCCTCAGGCAGCTCTGAGCACCTCAGCTTTACTGATTTCTGACTCAATTTTAGTTTTGTTTCTTCTTGTTTCTGTGTTGGGGAAGGTGGTCTTGATGTGTGGCAGAGGCCGGCCTCACGCTCTCCACCCTCATCTCTCTGCTTCCTCAGTGCTGGGATAACCTGCCCACAGAGCCACACCTAGAGCCAGTGCCATTTTAAAAGTCTGTTTACTCTGAGTGCTACAAGCAGAACCCGGCCTCTCCTGCATTAGGTGGTTAGGTGGCTGCTGAGTCGCATGCTGAGTGCCTCAGTCTTTAGCTTATAGGTAAGAACTGAAATTTGGTTCCTAAGAGGATAGATTTTTTTTTTAATGTATATATGTGGCCTTTTAACTTCCTTCTTTCATCGGGACTCAGGCCTTTCACTTGAAGTGACCTGGAAGGCAGGCTGAAGCAAAGTGAACTAAAGCAAGTGAGGAGGGTTCATTTCTATCAGAAATGAGTTCAACAGCCTCAGCCATGAGATCCCAAATTCATGTTACTGAAAATACGCTCCTGTCCCGTGACTAAAGCCACTCTGTTAAGAGTGGCTACCAAGCCATTCTCCATGGCTTTCTCTTTCCTCCCGACTCTTCCTCAGACCTACTGCTGCCTGACTGGACGGTGACATTTTCCAGACTCCCTGGAAGCTGGCTATGGCCATGCGTACAAGTTCTTTCATCTCTGAGAAGTCCTAGAGGATAAACTTTGGGAGTGTCGAACAGAAGTGGAGAGCCATTCCTTTCTTATCTTTTCCAGCAGGTTTGTGGGCTCAGGAGGTGATGGCAAAAGCCAGTGCACCCATCCTCAATCCTGAGGAAAGAGGTGAAGGATGGTAGCCAGAAAAACTGGTTCCGCTGTACCTCCAGGATTACCTCTTCACACACCTCTTGTATGGACACATAAATAATCTATGATGCTGGAATCAGTTGTTGCCTGTAGTTAAGCCTTATCCTGATATACTTACCTCCCTGGGGTCAGCCTTTATTCTGACCATAACTTCCAACCACGAAGCACAGAAACTAGACAGGAACAGCTCCATGCTTTGGAGTTGGCTAATGATGCACAGACCTCAGATAACTTACTAATCCACTATTACCGCTTATTATCCGTGTGTCTGCTCAAAGTTTTCACTTGGAGAAGATTGTGGTTTTGGGAGAAGCATCTTTTTTTTTAAAATTGTGTTTATTTTTATGTGTGTATATGAATAGGAGCACACACAAGTGTGTGCATTTGTACGTGGAGGCCAGAGGACAACCTTCAGCGTCACTCTTCAGGAACTACCCACCTCGTATTTGAGACAGAGTCTCCCGCTGGCTTGGAACTCACCACCTAGGTTAGATTGTCTGACTAAAGAACCCCAGGGATCCACCTTCTCTGCCTCTGAAGTGCTGGAATGACAAATGTTTGTTACCATGCCTGGCCGTTTTTTTTAAAGATTTATTTATCTTATGTATATGTGTGTTTGCCTGCATGTATGTATGTACACCAGAAACATGCAGTGTCCATGAAGGTCAGAAGAGGGGTTTGATTCCTTGGAACTGGAGTTACAGGCAGTTGTGAGTAGTCAGGTAGGTCCTGGGAACTGAACCTGGATCCTTGGTAAGAGCACCCGGTGCTTTTAACCACAGAGTCATATTGCCCCATGACTGGCTTTTGTGTATGTGTGTGTTCTGGTAGACTTGCTAATAAGGCAATAAAGCAAACTCTTTATTAATTGAGCTATCTCTGCAGCTCCAGAAGCAGCTTTTATGATGGGAGAGCATACAATTGTGGACATGTTGACTTTAAGGTGGTCTGTTAGTTGTACAAATAGTGAAGAACAGGCAAACAGGTCTGAATCCTAGCATTTAGGACAGAGGGGAAAAAAACCTGTTTACAAAACAGTGTGGTTGCCCTGAATCACCCAGGAATGGGCAGCAGAGCAGCTTAAAGGAATAAATAAGTGGTGGGCCACAAGGCCGGGCAGGGCTGAGGGAAGATGCAGGAGCTGCTGGGGCAGAAAGAGGGTCCATACGCTGTACCACACAAGAGGCAGTCAGTTGGGTCACGTATTGCTAATAGTAAGAGAGAGATAAGAGCTCAGACCCATCATTGGATTTAGCAGCTCCGAAATCAAGGAAGACTTTGGTCAAGTGCATCAGAGGAGTGGCTGGGAATGTGTTCAAGAAAGAATGGGTGGAAAGGAATTGGAGCTAGGAGACACCTCCATAGGTGTTTGCTTTTTAGAGCAGAAGGGAGTGGGAAAATCAATCAGAAACACAAGGGGAACATCTCTCCCGGGGCTGGAGGGCTGAACTCCCTTTGAATTTAAAGAAATAGAGGTCAGAGAATCCGGGGAAGAACAGGAATCCCGTGCTGGGTCGGGGGTAAGTCCCTGTCATTGTCTCATTTCAGACCTATGGGAGAGGTGGCTCTGGTTGTGGGTGAGGGGAAAGAAAAAATTGTTGGGGGCAGGTGCATCCGGGGGCTCTTGGGATCTACTGCCTATAGCAAACGCTCTTCGTCTGTGCATGGGAGCTTTAGGTGGGATCACACGTTCTCAGCTGAATTCTTGGCATGTGATAAATTCTCAGATTTTTGACTACGTTTGTGTTTGTGTGTTTACAGATCCCAATTATGGCACTGCTAGGGAGGTAATGCATCACGGAAAAATTATCTTTTTAAAAAAGGTACCATTTGTTGTGGCGATTAAAAAAGAAGTGGTGGAAACACCCTACCTTTAATCATGGAGGTGGGAAGAAGAACGCAAAAGTAGTCTGCCTAGACCAGAAAATAGTAAGCAAAGATTTGAGAACTGGAGTTAGTGAGGATGGGATGCGCTTGGCCCCTCACCCTCACTTGCCTGCCTACCTGCGGGACACCAGGCTTCCACAGGCCTCCGTTTGCCCCCGTGTCGTCTCTCCAGGCGCCGCGGGCCAGAGCCCTCACCGGCCAGCGCCCGCACCCGCAGCTCGCCTGGGCGTCGTTTAGGCGCCGTCACCTAGCAACGCCAGGCAGGCTCCGCTCGCGGTGGGCGCCGGGACCTGTAGTTCGGAGCCGCCTTCCCTGGGTCCGCGTTCCGGGCGGGGTGCGGAGTGGCGCTGGGCGCGGATTGGTGGCCTCACCAGGCGCGCCCCACCCGCCACTCGCGGCGGGCCGGGGGCTTGTGGCGCCGTCGGCGCATGTGCGGCCGTGACCGGCGGAGGTGCGGGGTGTCAGCAATCCGCGAGGCGCCGCGCGCCCAGCCCGCGCCTTTCCGCGCGCCCGCCCGCCCGCCCGCGGGTTTGGGTCGGTAGCGCGCCGCTAGCTGAGCATCCTTCCGGCCGCGCACCTGCCCCGCGCACCTGCCGCCAGCTGCTCCGCACTCCGCTAGGCGCTCAGGATCAAGCGCTTGCTCTCTAGCCGGTCCCGGCCCTGCCTGCGTGTCCTCCCCGTGCCGCAGCCGGGCCCGGGCTCAGCGCTGCGGCGGGCGAGTGCAGTCCGGAGCGCGGCCCGGGCCGGCGCGGCGCGGCGATGATGAACAGGTTCCGAAAGTGGCTGTACAAACCCAAGGTGAGTGGCTCCAGTTGCGGACCACGTCCTTCGCGTCGCGCTTTTCTCGGTCCAGTTCCCTTATCCTGCAGGTCCCTCCTTGGTGAGACAAACCTCGTTTCCCTGGCCCTGTGCAAGTCCCCCTTTCTGGTTTCTGCGATGCCCCTTTCCCGGATTCTGCGACTTGGACAGACCGTGTACCAGGCGCGCACTGACTGTTCTTTGGTAAACCCAGTACTAGACCGGGGTTCCTTTCCGGCTTGGGTGTATTATCATGTACCCTCTTTCTCGTCTCGGCCCCAGCTCGCACTCATTGGTCCCAGCCTGCGTGCTCAGAACCCATACTTCTCTTGGTTGCCTCTTGCGGCACCGCAGATGCCCCTTCATCTTTTCGCACCACAATTATTCTGGCCTAGGATAGTGGGCCTCCCTCCCACCTTCCCGTCGCACTTGTGAGCCGTCCTTCTCCACACTCCCCTTCTCCAATCCCTTGGCTTTGGTCAGACCCTTTCTTCCTGTATCTTTAGAGGGCCCACACACCGCGGTTCGGTCCTTCCAAACTGGACTGATTCGACCTCGGTTCACTTCGCATCCCTATCCGGGTACGGTACCCGCCCGCACCTTTTTGGATCTCTGACCAGTTCTCCGTTTAGTCGCTGGGTAAGGCTCTTGGAGCCGCAGCCTCTGCGGGCCGGAGGTGCGATTTGCTAGCCGGCGCCTCTCTTGGCTCCACCGGGTCGGGTCCCGGCGGCGCGACCCGCGCTTCGGCAGCTGCGCCAGTCGCACTGCGGGCACTGCGTCCCCGCCGCTTGCCTGGGGCTCGCGGTCGGAGCAAGACCCGGTGCGCTCTGCTCAAGGCCGGGCGGTGCAAAGCTGGGGTCCAGCAAAGGTCCAAGACGCACCCACAGCATCCAAAGCTGCGTGCTGGGGGCCCGCAGAGCCAGAGGACGTCAACGCTGGAGGTCTTCAGGGGGTTACGACCTGGGTGGGGTCACTGCAAAGACCAAGGGCGGGAGCAGTGCTGCGGCTGCTTGTTCGTGTCTCGGAAGTCAGAGGCCTCCTTCTCATTGGTCCACCCAAAGAACTGACCCTTCTCCCGCCGTGACTAGCCACTTTTTTTTCTTTTTCTTTCTTTCTTTCTTCTTTTTTTTTTGGTTTAGGGTTCCTGTCCCAGACTCCGTGAATGATCTCTCGGGAGTGGGGTTTCCTTAAAATCATGTCAGCTGACGCGCGCGTTCAGGAGAGACATTCTGTTTGGAAGACTGGCACTTGAGGCTTGGGAGACCTCAAAGGATCATGTTTTTTTGGCCACTGAGGTCGGGAAGTTTTTCCTTGGGTTGGAGAGTGTTGGGGTGATGGCTTATAGAACGTGAGGCTGCCTTTGATCAGCCCTGGCCTGGCCAGAGGGTATTCTGGATTCTTGCACGCAGGTGCAGCAGCGGTTTGTGCTCTTGTCGTGGGGCAATTTTATCAGGCTCTTTCGACCAGGGCGATGGGTGTGGTTTGAGCCTGCTTGTCCTTAGCCACGCCCTAGACGTCTAGCCCTCTTTTTACTGCAATCCCTTCCATGTGCTCAGTCCTTCCTGCTGTCTCTTTGTGAGTCTGCCAGGAGATGCAGCAGCTCCTGCACGGAATTATCTGTACAAGGAGTGTTTTTCTTTCATTTGAGTGACTTTTTAGCACAAGAAAAATAAAACCAAACAACAACAAAACAAGTTTAGTGATGAACTTGCAGCGGGGAGGGATTTGCTTTTTCAATAACATGACAGGGGACTGTTTGCATGCTAAGCTACGTTCTTGTCTCTGGGAATGCTTTCGGGGGCGCTGGGGGTGTCCAGGTGTCATTTCCAGCGGTGCCACGAAAGGAAAAGTGTGTTCTGTGGCCCACCACCTAAGTGTTTGGAAGGGAAAGAGCAGTGCCTGCAAACCCCATTGATTTTCATCCGTAGCTGAATTTACTGTGGCCTTCCCTTGAGGTTGATCCCCAAAGTTAAGGATCGCACCCACAGAGTTCCCTGTTTTCGCAGGCAACTACTTTCTAAATGCAGCCCACGACGACAAGTGGAGAGTTGAGTTGGTAACCTTGGGTGATTCAGCCCAAAGGGGGGTCCTTTTCAGAAGGGAGAGGTAGGTCAGATTTCTCCCTCTGCAGTCCTCCTCATTGTCAGCCCTCAGAGCTGTGGGATGCTGTCCTTGACCTCTGGACTTGAGCCACAGCTCTGTCTCAGATCTCTGCTCTGGCCACAGCCGTCTCTGGAGCTGGTGCCCTGTGGTCAGTCTAATCATGAGCCATCTCTTGTTCCAGATCTGTCATTGGACTTCAATGTCTTGATTGTTTGAAGCATTGGCTTGTGTTATGTCATCCTTGTAGTTTTTATTTTTCAAACCAAAGCTTAGATTTTTGCCTCCAATTATCAACTGAATTTTATGTCTCCTTCTTGCTTGATTGAACATATTTTGACGCAAGTGAGCACAGAGTTGGCCCTCAGAAGATTCTGGGTCTGGAAGAGTTAAGTACTAGTAGTCTGGAGGAGATTGTTGCTGACATAATTCCCTTTCCACTTTTCTATTTAGACCTACTATTTAAACCATATTGAAATGTAATTCCTGCTTTGGTTTAAACCGAACACACACAGACCTTGTTCATTACATGTGGTGGAAATATTATGAAAAATGCTGTTATTCCTACAGTTCAAAAAAGCAATGGGAAATGCTTAGAGAATTTTTTTTTTTACATGATACAAGTTTTGGTTTCTGAAGCACTAAAAACTACTTAAGTTGGGTGAAAAGCATACCCAGTGAATAGTACAATAGATGATGTTAAAATGACATTTTCAAGGCATTTTATTTCTATTGATTTTCTTAAAATAAGCCTTTGAATAGCTCCTTTTACCCCTTGATGGAGACCTATCAGGCTCACGGTATTCTGACTCTGGAGGCTGCGAGGAAAAGGCAGGCGGTAGGGGCTCAGAGGCATTTCTTTGGAGCACTTTGTGCAGGCAGAGGCTTTCTCAGAACATATGCTTCAGAAAGGCGAGGCAGTTGGTGCCCTCCTTGGAAACAAGGGTCTTATCTTGTTCTTTGCTTGGCTGTAACTTTCTCTGACCGACCTGGGTGGATATTGCTGGCTACCAGGAGGGAGGAGGTTGGCGTAAGGTAGGATCCTAGACTGGAACCCTGGCTAAGGTGGGATGTCTGGGCTGTCATGGCGAGCTTATTGATGTGCACGGAGGATGCATTTATAGTTTCCTTCTTTGAGGAGAAACTGATTGGCAGGCAGGTGGTGCTTGTCAAGGGTATGGGGATGGTGGATGTGGTGTCTAGTTTCCATACTCAGCCATGTGCCCCACAAAAAGCCTTCTTGTTTCATCTCTAAACCTCTACCAGGGGAGGGGCTGTTGAGCTGCATGCCTGCTCCTTTGTTGTGGAGTTTCCGTGCAGTCCTTCACTGAGTGGCGTTGAGATACTGTTTGCAAACATCCAGGGTTCATATTACAGATGAGATCCACACTTAGGGCCCTTTCAAATGTGAGCCCACTCTGCACAGACCATCCCATTGGCTTCCTGTCACAAGCCTCCTACTCACATGTTCCTTGACTACTGGCCATGGGTGTGTGGTACCTGGAAGTGCAGTAGTGGGTGGGGCAAGTCTAGGGCTGGGACAGGAGAGTAGTGGTTCCTGTCATCTGCCTCCATCCCAGACCCCTTCCAGAGCCTTTGTCAAATTCAGCACTCAGACTGTGGCTAGGCAGGCCTAAGGAGCTTGAAGTGGCTTCTTTGGTCTTCTCCAAGCAAGATCTCTCAGCAGGAAGCTGGTCTCACTTCACAGGTTTTCCTGTGGTTTCTGTAGTGGGAGTGTGGGGCCTCACAGCTCCTGTGACTCTGCTGGGTGAGGGAGAGGCAGTGCTGCAGGCAGGGCCAGTGTTGTTTCGGTGGGACTCTGCCATTGCTCAGGCTCTGTTCCCAATCAGACTAGCAGGCTTACTGGAAATGTGTGATGTGGTTTCTGTTAAATGGGCGAGTCAGAGCTGGCAGTCCTGAGCTTCACTTAATTGTTATTTGGAGTTGGCATCCAGGAAGGTCATGTGGGTGTATACTCTTCCCCACACTAAATGGGGCAGTGCTCACTTTCATTCACCCTTAAGAGGAGAGATGCTGTTTAAATCAATTTTAGTGCCCGCTTTGGTACACCGAGAATGCCCAGGATAGCAGCTATGCCTCTCTTTGTAGTGAAATGCACGCTTAAGAGCCCATCAGTGCGGCACACTTCTGACTTGTCAGAATTGACAGCAACATGGTGCAGGTGTGTTCTGTGTCCTGCAGAGGTGTGTGACAGTGAGCTGATCCCAGCTCAGAGAGAGAGACAGATGCTTACATTTCAGTGAGTTTTAGGAGTTCCTCTCATTTTAAGTTG